TTTTTAATCTTACTTTGATTTTCTGTAATGTCCATCTCAGTTCTTATACGACTTGATTTTGGTCGGCCCTTTGAAGTTCTTTTCATTTCTGGATTTGCACACAAAGTAGGTCCTGTGTATGTTGGCCAATATTCTTCATTTCGCAATAACCCAAATTGTATTCTGTATACCTTTGAAACTTGTTGTAAGGTATACACTGAATTAATATAGTTGTTGAAGTCATGGTATGCATGCTTGCATGCAGCAAGAACATGTGAACAAGGCATGTGAAATTTTTGAAATTTCCCACAGTCACACCATAACTCATCAAGGTGAACTGCAAACTTTCCTGCTGATCGAACTTCACGCTGCTTTTATGTCACATTGCCTCAAGATGTTGTAATAATAGTAGAATCGTGGTTCAGTCATCCCATACGCTACAACATTATTAAAAAAACATAGTTAATATAAATATTTATTAGCAACAATTAAATAATGAATAAATTGTAACAAATTTGAAGCAAAGGAATTACCCATATTTACAACATCTTTCCTCAGTGCGGTATTTTTGAAACGTCTCATAAAATTCTGTGCAATGTGTCTAATGCAGTAGACATGCATTGAATTATTTTTTGTCCATCCGCTTCCATTTCTCATGTATGCACTTCTAATCAGTGGCGGATCTTCTTGGGAGCTGAGGGGGGCCGTGGCCCCCCCAAAGTTTTGTAACTCCCATGTAATTTATGATTTTGGCCCCCCCAAACTTAATTAACATTTAATATATTTACTTGTATATTTACAATTTTATCCTCTCAGCCCCTCTTCAGTTTTATAACTCTTATATAATTTATGATTTTGTCTCTCTCTAACTTAATGATCATTTAATATATTTAAGTATATATTTACAATATTATCCTTTTACCCTTTTATCTTCTTTCTTCCTTTTATATTTATTAATAATATATTATTTGGCCCCCCAAGATCAATGGTCAAGATTCGCCACTGCTTCTAATGGATTCATGTCGGTCTGATATGAAGCATAATCCTTGCTGGGGTGTGACATATTTTTGAAGGTTTTTTAAGAAAAAAAATCAGGCATCACTTGTTTCACCTTCAACCACTGCAAATGCAATGAGGAGGATGTTGTTGCGGCCATCTTGTGCTACTGCAACCAACAAGGTACCTTTATATTTTTCATACAAAAAAGTTTTGTTCACTTGAACAATGAGCTTGCAGTGAACACATCCATTTATGCATGACCTAAACGACCAAAACACACGTTTAAAAATATTTGAATTTTGTTAAAGGACTTCACCTTGGTAACCTAGTTGTGACTACAGTTTGTAGATGAATCCGGGAACAAATTGTTGCATGACTTGTAACAAACAAGACAACTTCTTATACGAATCCTTCCAATTGCCATAGATGATCTCTACTGCCTTTTGTTTGGCCAACTAGGCCTTCCTGTATGTTATAGTGTAACCCGTTGTTAATTGGATGTGGGCTATGATGGTGGAGATTGGTGTTGACGAATCAACATCAATTATTTGACCAATTGTTTGGGAAATCATTTTATATCCCGACTTGTTGTGGTCTTGGCTGATTAATGGCGAAACGCATGTATGGTGCCCTTCAAGCTTCATAATCTCCCAGTATTGTTCTCTTGTGCGTAATATTGTTCGACATCTCCAATTGCATTGGTTATCAACATATTCAACAACATATCTACTTTGGTTTGAAATTTTCACCTTGTATGTGCAGTGATTGACAATGTGAAAGCGGTTGATGGCATCTTGAACTTGTTCTTTTGTTATGAAACGTTGTCCAAGAAATAGAGTTCCAGCCGGAGAAACAAAAGACTCTCTGTCCAACGTATGACCATACTCTGGGTCTGGTTGTTGAATGTGACTTTCAAAGTTAAGAAAATGTTGTGGTGGGTTGTATGGTTCCATGAAGTTTGGTGCATGTGTAGGGATATGTGGTTGTTCATCCTCTGAATCATCTTGGTGTTGGCTGAGAATTTCATCTTCGTCTTCATCCTCACTAAAAGGATCAACGACTTCAATTGGGAGACCAACAATTTCGTTCTCTTGTGTGGGTAGTTCTTCATTGATGTTGGTGGAAGGCCCACTTAGAAGTTGGGTAAAAGGGATGTAGTCATTATGTGTGCGTATTTCTGGGTCAGTGTTTGGGAAAGCTTGGTAGGGTAAGGGTGAAATTTCTGGTGAGTGTGTGTTGGGGTATGAAGAAGAAGAAGTTTTAAATGAAACAAAAATTTCAATACCACATAGACTTGAGTTTGAATCATGAACATCGAACATGGCCTCCACGTCGTCATCATCTTTCAACTTAACAACAATGAAGTTGTTGATCCCAACTCCGAGTCTAGTTGAGCAGCGAAAATGGATGGTTGCTACATTTTCGTGAGGTTCTTTCTCCAATTTCTTGTGGATCAACTTCTTTAACCTTTGTAGAGAAATTCCTCTCTTTAAAGGAACAAGTTTTGCAGTCCAAGTATTGAAGGTAACTCCCTCCATAGGACATGGGTTCATGAAACCATCATAGTGGACAATAGTAGACATTACACCCATTTTAGGAGTGTGGAACACAAAGAAGACTAAAGGTAAGAAGAAGAAATAATGCAAATAGCTTCAGAGATTTAGGAGTGTGCAATGTGAGAACTTCAAAGAATGAAAGTGGTCTATTTATAATGAAGTCCATTGGTTTGAATCCAATGCTCCCTCACATGGTTTCTGACGCACACAAAACCCAAGCAAAGTGGGTGGGTCAACATCTCTTTAAATATGTTTGGATTCTTCTGCTTTTGTCTAACCCAATGCAGGGAATCCAAGATTGGAATCCTAACTTAGGTGGGTAACTCAACATTGGATTCTTTACTTGTGTGCATCAGAAAGACATGAGAATCCTGACTTGAGTGGGTGACTCAGCATTGTAAATAGTTGCAGGTTTCCTCGCTCAAGCGATGAGTTTCTCGCTTGAGCGAGAATTGACCACAGGCTAAACGTCCAACGCAGTTAGCCACATAATGCAACTTGGGTCACCACATATTTCAATCACTTCTCGCTCAAGCGAAAGTACCCGTCGCTTGATTCGCTTGAGCGAGAATTGACCCAAGATTTTAGATAGCGGTTCTAGAATTAACCGCTATTAAAAGTATATTTTAGATAGCGGTTAACGTGAAACCGCTATTATATGTTCACTTTTAAGAGCGGTTAAAATATTAATCGCTCTTAAAAGTGACACATATATGATATTAAAAGTGACACATATATGATAGCGGTTCCACTTTAACCACTCTTAAAAGTGACAAATATATGATAGCGGTTCCACGTTAACCGTTTTTAACCGCTATATAGAACATGTGGAACTACTATTACATTTGTTTTCTATTATAGTGAGTTTCTTCACTTGAGCGAGAGAGAAATAATCGATCATAATTTTGTATATTCGATTATTTTAAAATTATGTTCGATTAGTTCAAATTATAATCGATTATAAATTTCTTCGCTCAAGCGATGGATGTCTCGCTTGAGCGAGAGTTGATTGCGCGAAATAATCGATCATAATATAAAATAATCAATTATTTTAATACGTGAAAAGTAAATAATGCTAGTTGTGTAAATAATATTTCAAATATGTTATTTTAAAAAATATTTTTAAAAATAATATTATTTATGAAAAAAAAGTCTAAATTAGATCCACTCGAATTACCAATAAATAAATGATGTCTTTTTGTAACAAAAGAAAAAGACACATGTCCGAAAAAAAAAAAAGAATATAATAAAAAAATCCACAACCCATATTCGAGTTCAATAACCATAAATAATAATATAATAATAATAAATAATATTATTATATTAATATATTTAATAAAAAGAAATATATTAAAAAAATATTCTTATTTTATTATATTTGCTTAAAATAAAAATTACAATAATTTATATACACTTTTTTAATTATTGAAACGTTTTTTAAAAATAAAATCGATCAAAATTTTAAAATATATTATATATAAAAATTTATCTTAATAATATTATTATAATATGAGACCAAACTTTTTTTTTTCTCAAGAGAGAAAAATTATCAAATATAAATACAATTTTTTTATACATAAAATTATCTCATAGTTAATTAATACTGTATGCATACCCAAAAATGGGTAATATTTTATTTTAAAAAATGAAAAGTTAAATTTTAATGAAAGATGGATTATAAAAAGTACATGAGAATTGAAATGCACTATTTCTATTTTTTTTTATTGAATTTTAGTTTATTTAGATTGAAAGAGAAGAAAGGAAATAAAATAAAATATGTTCACTATTTCTATTTCATCTGAATAAAAAGTTGATAGAAAGATTTAATATAAAATAATGTACATTTGAAAACATAAGAACCATCGTGAATAATTTTGGTATGTAAGAAAAATGAGAATGTTCCCTCGTTTCATTGTGTACATCTTGACGAGGGAAAAATGACTTTTTCTAAAAATTGAAATAAAAAAAATAAACGTATTTACTGTTAGTTGAATAAAACAAGTTTATCTTCAAAACAATAAATAAAAATTAAAATTGAAGTAAGATAACATTTCACCGCAGAAGAGTGACATCTAAACACGAAAATCATACCATATGTAGCAGCAACATGGCTTAGAACTTTCGTCAAACACCCTGCAGTAGTATTGGAAGCCGCTTGAAATATTTTAAAACCTTTAAGTTGAAGACTTCATATAATTCCACAACACTTGATCCAGAATCAAGCGTTTTTAATTGCCGAAGGCGCAATTTATAACTGCATCCTCACCCTCGCCGGAGTTCAGCGAGCAGAATCGCTTATTCACCGTCCATCGTGTGGCGAACGAACGGTCAAACCCAAACCAGCTAAGCTAAGCTGGGTATTTCACTCTCTGTCTCTCAAGTCGTATCCAAAATTCGTGTGTTAATTCTCACATATGACGTATTCGAGTAATTGATCCAAGAATCGTTTTCATTTCCGCAGTTGCCATGTCAAAGGATAAAGACGCTACCGATCTCTCACGCACCTTCAAATACCTATTAGGTCAGTTTATTCTTTTCACCTCTTTTAGCAAACACTACAATCGTCTCGCGAGTTCACATTTTTAATTTATTAGAACTAATTCAAAATTAGTTATGCTCGGCACTTATCTGGAGTTTATTTATTTTGGATTATCACTAAGATAGCTTTTATGCCCTGCATTGTGAGTCAGTTCATTGATATTTCCCCATTCCATTTTACCTTTTTTGAATATCATGAATCCAGCTACTCAGTTCTTGTCAAGAGGGATTCCATTTATATTCAATACATGGATTGTAAGGCATCTCACACAAGAGGACTATGCGGTAACTGTTTTCCCATACTCTAATTAATTTTAATTGCTTTCTCTATCTTCCCCGTGCGTAATTGTTACTTCATAGTTGAGAGATGTGTTTTCCAGTTGTGCTGTACCTTTTCATTTTTTGGAATTGATTTACTTTTTTGCCTCCTGCTTTGGTTCTAAATTTCTTTATTGGGTGTCAATGTGTTATGTTTTTTGTGCCATTTTGATCTGCATCATAAGGTTTATGATCATAATTGATTTACCATCATGATACCTTTCTTTGTTGATGCAGCTGTATGCAGTGCAGTTTCATCTGCTGGTCACATGTATTTTATTTCTTAGCCGGGAGGGCTTTCGGCGAGCATGCTTGCGAATGGACCTGAAGTGGTGATCCCTTATGCTTTTTCTAGTTCTTTTACGTAGGAAGAAGTGTATTTAAATAAATTGGGCTCCACACTTCTTGTTAAACGTTAAATGTACACTCAGTACTAAATAAGTACTGTTGCCAGCTAGTTCATTAGTTATAATTGGTTACATAAATAGGGAAAAATCAGATTGGGAGAGGACATTCAGTGTAATAGACGGGTTTGTTTTCTTCCTATAATATAGTTCTACTCTTTTGATTCATTTTGTCTAGTTTCCATCTTATTTTTTGAGTTTGTATAATCTTATCATCAAGTTAATTTGGTTTAATTTTGATTCCTTGCTTGAATCCTCCTAGTGATTGGGCTTCTTCCATGCTTGATGATGTGTATGATTTGTTTGTGAGCTATTTTTTGCATCATGCTTCAAAAGAAAATGAGTTTTGTGTTAGGTTTCAATCTAATGTTTCATAGGTCGGTGCTGATTGTTAAATGATGCTTTGGATAAACTATAGGTTACTTGCCAGAGAAAGTATATGTGCTGGAATTATATTTAAGAATATATTTATAGTTTGGTTGAAACTTGAAAGATATTGTAAAATGTTGAACTGAGTCTCTCAATTCTTTGATACTTTAGAATATTATGAATTTAAAAAGTACTATTATTCAAATAATGTAAACTAAGGATTTATATCTTTCATTGATTTTATTTTTAATCCAATTATTCCTAAACTTGAGTAAGCTCGGTTTGTAATATGTATTGTTTATGTTATAGTGATGGCACTTCAATGGGAGATGTTGTGAAGCTAATGAAAGTAGTGTGGATGAGTTTCCCACTTGGAATATTTATTACAATTGTAGTATGCCTTTTTGTCTTCTGGTGGCAACAAATAAGTTATTGTAGTCCACATGGGCAAGCTATCTTGATCAATGGTAATCTAATGTAGCTACGCCTTTTTTTTTTTCACTTTCATGGTTATCAATGGTTTTTGCCATAATCTTTTCTTCAAAAGATATAAAACCACACATCCTTAAATAACTCTTCAAAATATGAAATGTTGTAAAGTTTGAAAGTTTATGGGTGAAGTTCACTTGTTATGCCAGGTTTTGCATGTATTTTGGAGCTCTTGGCTGAGCCTGTTTATATTCTTTCACAGAGCATGGTCTTACTCAAATTAAGGCTGATGGTTGAGACTATAGCCACTCTGTTACGGTGCTTGACAATGTATTTTCTAATCATCAAGCAAACTGGAATGGTAAGAGTGTAGTTATACTGAACCACAGACTTTGATCTGTACTTTCCCTTTTTTAAGCAAACAGTCAGTGCTTTTTCTGTTATGCTTGTAAGATGTAATAACAGTTTGATTCTTGGACTGACTTATATTTTTCTAGTTAATCAAATTGGATGTAGATGTTTTCTTCATTTCTAGAATTTCTAAGGGACTGTTAGTTTTGAGAAAATGTTTTCTGAAGTTATACAAGAAAAGACGAACAGAAAATGAAAAGAGCCATTTTAATTCAAGCAGCCCCTAAAATTAGGACTATTGAAATTTCATTTGAATCTTTCCTGATGAGGGATGAAGGAGTCCAGGTATAAAACCAGTAAAAAGCTTTTATATTACGGATTTTGAAACCCCCCTGTCTTTTAATAGTCCAACCTTAATCGGCAAGTAAACGATACAAAGGAACTTTTAAGTGCTGCACTCTTGTATCATTGGCAGTATGCTAAGTTACTTGTTTTAAAGCATTTTATTTCATCAATTTTAGGAAGTTTGCCACATACATCATATCGCTCACAAGTTTCAAGAACTTTCTTCAAAGAGCATTGTATTTTTATACACTTACAATTTGGATTCTAGACACTAGAGTATGATTTACTCATATGATAATGCTGTTATGGATCAATTCTCTAATAAACGTATGCTATTAGGTGGAGAACCTACAAATGTTTTATATTTCTAACAGATATCTATCTCTATGTAAATGCAACTGATTCAGAGTTGAATGACCATTTCCAGGAAAAATCAATCATATTTGCTTTGTCACAGTCTGCATATGGAGGCTGCTTGTTTATTGGTTATTGGGGCTATCTTTTGCTGTACCAAAAATTTAGGGTTTCTTACCTTTTTCCATTCAGGTATAGTTATTTATTTTTGTCATAAGTTTCTCTACACGGTTACCTGTTACTTTTATCATTTTTTCTTCAAAAGAAGATAAAAGTGAATTAAAATATTCTGAGTGTCCATGAATCTAGAACTAGGTAGTCACTTGAGGAGAGGATTGTGTGTGTTAGAATTATATTGGTTTTGCTCTTGTTAACTATATGGAAATTAATTTTCTTCTCTAAGATGCTCTAAGCAGTGGTCTGAGTAGAAATATGACATGCTTGATCTTCTGAGGTCATTGTGGAGGGATAATGTTTGCCAGATGCTACCCTTTGTAATATATATTAATCATAGTGATTTCTTTTGTTTCTCTTGTGTGTGTGTATATATATATATATGCCTCTTGTTTGCTGTAGGTTTCATGTTTAAATCAATGTGAATTTCTTTCCTCCTTATTTTCTGATGAACAATTGATTATAACATTACCTCTATTTTGTTATGACTGAGTTAATGATATTCTTAACAGACCTTGTCATCTGATTGTTTGACATGTTAAGATGCTTTAATTTTCTCATGATGTCATGCATGGTGTATAAAACATTCTTTGCAAGGAAAAGTGGAAACTGTAAATCATTAACCAACTTAATTTGGTTTGATGTCCGCTTATTTGTCATCAAGGTATGATTTATTAGTAATAATTTTTTTCGCAGAAAAGGAAAAGTGGTTGATTTAGACAAGCAGCTGTCTAAGATGTGTATACTGTTCACCTTTCAATCCTTTCGAAAATTGATCCTTCAGGAAGGAGAAAAGATAGTACTTGTATGGTTGGATACACCATATAATCAGGCTGTCTATGGCCTGGTGGACAAATTGGGTTAGTATTTGGTTTGGGTAATTTGTTTCAGAAAGCTTAATTATTATGTTCAAAATATAATTGTATTAGGAGTGTTTCCTATTTTATTTCATTGAGAAACATGATAATTGCTTATTATGTGAACACGTTTGTCTTTTTTGAAAAAATCACCACCTTTCAGGTAGCTTAGTGGTGAGACTTGTCTTCTTACCTTTTGAAGAAAGTTCATATGCAACATTTGCAAGGTCTGCTTCAGGTTCTATTTCTCTCTTGTTTACTTGATGTTTAAACCAGAAAATCTGAATAGCTTTCATATAACTATTGTTTGGTTCCACGGTAGTTTTGCTTGGTCCTTTTGTTTGTCTGATTGTAGTGCATATTTCTTTTGAGGTGCAACTCTAAATTTGCCCCTCATTTCTCTCTCCTTCACTTTCCTGGGTAGTTGTGTTTGTCTATTTGGTTTAAGTTTCGGTCCTCTCTTATTCATCATCACATAAAAACTATTATGCTTTTAAAAATTGATTAACCATATTCAATTGATTAATGAAACAATAAATTGGGATGGGCTTCGGCATATGCTAGCACTATATAAAATGTTAAGAATATTTATCTAGACCTCCTTTAATTTTTTGTTCTAAGCATATCATACTGAGTTCCTTTCTTATTTTAATAATAAATTTTAATTGATTTTGATGGAAATTCCTGACAGGACAATATGCAGGAAAAAGCAAGATATTGGGAAATGGCTTGATGGAATCCCTTAAGTTAGTTTTGTTGATTGGTATGTCTTTTCATTTAACTTCATATTTCTTCTTACTTTTCCTATTAATCGGTCGAAAGGAGTTATTTCTGGCCCTTATATGAGAAGAAAGATGTATTTTTACCTGTCTCTTAGTTTGACTACGAACAGTCAATGGTTCTGCAAAGATTGCCAAAGTAAGAAAGGTTGATGATGAGTCTAACACAGAATTATTCACTTAAGTTACATCTAGATATCTATTACTTAAGAAGCATATTTGATGCTATGTTGTGTCATTGTCTAATATTCAATTTTCTGTAAAATGCTGTGTTGACTATTGACCAATAGTTTTTCTCTTCTGTATACATAAGAAAACTTAGACCTAGATGTCTCTTTTTACACTATGAATTTCTTTCGTGAGACTGAGAAAAAAGAATGAAAAGCTTTAATCTAACTCTTTGAAATTGTTACCCTTCCCCTTGAATGAGCATGAGTAGAAATACAAGACAAGATAGAATTAGGAAAAAAAGAAGTTGAATAGTACCACTGAAAAAAATGGTAGAATTTCTTGTTTTGGCTTGTGTGGAAAAAGACAAGGAGAGTAAATCGCATGGAAGATAACCCTAATGGCTAATGCTAGAGGTAGAACCATAGAATAATACTGAATAAAACTATTTACGAAGCCATGAAGAAGGATTAAGAAGTCAACAATTTGCCCATGTAAATGAATCACCATTGAATACGATGGCAATGTTTGACTCAAGTAGCCAACCTCATGTGTAATAGGAAAAAGACTTGTTTGTGATTGTTGTTGACCCTTCCCTTTGGAAAAGGGTACAAATAAAAGAAGGATATGACTGTGGAAGGAGTTTCTTTTAGCTTTACCTCTGTCACCAGTACTGCATTCCATTGGGAAGAGCCTTTAGTTGAGAAACTGAAAAAAAAAAAAGTGGTCTGCTTGGTGATTGACATTTGTGAACATATAAATTGATACGAACAATAATACTAGATTATTCTGCAATGAGGATGCTATTTAAGGCATAGATCTGATTTGCATAAAATTCTGAGACTTAGTTTTTGTCATCTTAATGACAACTACACAACTTTTTTGGTAACAAGCAACATTGATACGTAGCTGCATACATCTGAGTCTAGGTGGCCTGCATAATCATTCCTCCCTAAAAGTCAAATTGAACCACTTATGCAGTTGTGAAGATTAAAAAGAGCTGTGGCCATAAGGTTAATGGAATTAGCTTTATTTTTCCTACCCGGAAAGAAACGTTTTGGACATGTTTTACCTTAAATTGCATATTTTATTGTTTCTTTTGTGGTATAATATCCAGGTTTATGTTTTGCAGGCCTTGTTTTCATGGCATTTGGTCCAAGTTATTCTTATTCACTCATTAGATTGCTATATGGTGAAAAATGGAGTGATGGAGAAGCGTCAACTGCCCTCCGCTGTTATTGCTTTTATGTCATTGTTTTGGCCATGAATGGTAATCTACCTTGTCTCCTGTTACTAATTTTTTTTATTCTAAGTACATAATGGTTTTTATTCTTCATATAATCTAAATTTTTTGCATACATTGTTTTATGGGCTCTTTATTTTCTAAATTTAATAACAACATCTAAAGGACTTAGTAGATGTGTCAGATAAGTTCTATTAGCAGTTAGATTTGTCTAGATAAACTTCTGCATAACTATTTATAGGTAAAGAGCAAAAGAAGATTAAACTCTTTCATAAGCTACAACCAATGACTGTCCCTTTGGCTTATGCAAGCAGCTAATTTACTATTTTTCTCTTGCAAGTGTTTATGGAGAAGTTTATCTACATAGGAGAGGTTGAGAAGGATTTTATCTTGTGTTCCTCTTGAGCGTTTTGGGAATCATTTGTACTCTTTTATGTTTATAGAAACTGTTAGAATCTGTTTTATTTCTTTCAGGATTTGTGTTTTATTGTTTCCTTATTTAGCAGAGTATAATAATAGTGTATGATGGTATCCTTGAATCAAGGATTCGGTTGTCTAGGTGCTATTATTATACTTCCTAAAATAGCTTTCTAGCCTTGTATATATCAATTGTATTCTTAGAATAATAAGATGGTATCATAGCTTTGAAATTTTGGGAGCCTTTGATTGCGCACAACAAAACCCTAGACGGTAGCCTTCATTGTTGATGTGATTTGCCGTATTATTCCTTAGTTACAGTCGCAACAATCAAAAACCTACTTACTACATTACGTGGACATGGTAGACCCAACTGCTGAAGTGGTGAATATTGTGTCACAGAACACTCAGGAACGACTGCAGAACCTTAACACTGCCTACCGATTGACTAGGAAGAGTTATTTGAAATTAGCCCAACTTGTTCGCAGAACTTTGAAAGGTAAAGGGAAAGCTAACCACTTGACTGACGATGCTCCTAAAGAAGAAGATCCCAACTTTACAAAATGGGATGAAGAGGATTCTGTGATCATGGCATGGCTATGGAACTCCATGATCCCAGAAATCACTTATACTTGCATGTTTCTTAATTCTGCAAAGGAGATTTGGAATGCCATGGAGCAAACCTACTCCAAAGCTAAAGATGTTGCTCAAATATATGATGTGAAAGTGAAGACTGTTGCTGCCAAACAGGGAAACAAGACTGTTACAGAGTATGTCAATCAACTCAAATCACTATGGATGGAATTAGATAATTACAGGGTCATAAAAGCCACGTGCTAAGATGATTCAGCAATGCTCAAAGAGTATATTGAGCAAGATCGAGTCTATGATTTCTTGGTGGGGCCTTAACTTTGATTTTGATCAAGTAAGAGTCTAGATCCTTGGAAAAGAAAAAAATTCCAGGAATTAATGAAGTAGTAGCTATGGTCAGAAGTGAAGAAAGTAGAAGGGGAATAATGCTAGAAAACCCAACCATGGAAAATTCAGCCATGGTAGCTTCCGCATCGGCCATGATGGTCGACCCGAAAAAGGGGCGAATAGCCAATACGGAGAAGAAAGGTGAAGGAGTATGGTGTACCTTCTGTAACAAGCCTCGCCACACGCGTGATAAATGTTGGAAGCTGCATGGAAAGCCACCTATTGGGGATCCCAAAATTGTGACAAGGAGTGGGAAAAAAAAAGGAGACAACACTAGAAAGGGAGGACAAGCGCACATAGGTGCTGCAACAAATGAAGAAAACAGAGGAGAAGTGATTCAACTTAATCAGGATGAAGTAGAGCAAATGAGATCATTCCTCAACAAGTTGGATAAGTCACCAAGTAGTTCTCTGGCACATTCAGGAACGTTTGGTAAGTTTCCCTCTTAGGACTTAATGCCTCAGATAAAAACTATAACCCATATTGGATACTAGATCCTGGGACTACCGACCACATGACACCCCTACCTAACCATTTCTCTTCTTACACCCCTTACCCTAGCAACAAAAAAATATCCACAACTGATGGCTCTCTGAAGACTGCAGCAGGTCAAGGAGAAGTCCAAATAAGCCCATCCATAACCCTTAAAAATGTCCTTCATATTCCTAAATTGTCCGTTAGTTTGATTTCCATAAAAAAACTCATACAAGATCTATCATGTAATGATATTTTTTATGACAATGTTTGTTTTGTATAGGACAAGTACTCGGGGAGGACAATTGGACATGCTAGAGAATGGAATGACTTGTATTACTTGGACCATCCAAATCTACCACCAGACTTGGAAAATAACACCTCGTTTTTCTCTGATTCAATAAAGACCTACATAAATGTCGCCTTGGACATCCTTCCTTTAGGGTCATAAAAACGTTATTTCCTTCCCTTTTTAGCAAATTAGATGTGACAAGTCTCAATTGTGAAGTGTGTGAGCTTGCTAAGCACAAACGTGTTTCTTTTCCAGTTAGTAATAATACAAGCATTGTTCCCTTCTATTTAATTCATATTGATGTGTGGGTCCCTCAACTGTCCCAAATGTTTCTGGTGGCCGTTGTTTTCTTACCTTTATCGATGATTGTACTCGTGTCACATGGGTTTTCTTACTAAAACATAAATCCGAAGTCAACTATGTGGTTCAACATATTTTCTCTATGATAAAAAATCAATTTGGTATTAGCATTAAGAGGATTAGATTCGATAATGCAAAATATTACTTTAATCATGGGTGTCGCCGCCGTCAAAAGAGGTTGTCGGAGCGACGCGATGGTTTGGTTTGACTCGCGTTTTTTAAAGTGTGGTTCAACGCCTTTAGGTTGTCCGATAACCGGGTTGGACCTAAAGGTGAGGTTTTCGAAAAGGTTCGAGGAGTCACCACCAATATTTTTACCAAAAACATTGGAAAAGGAAAAGAAGACAATAGTTTTTAAGAAAAACCAACTTTAGTCATTACAACCAGAGTTAGGTAAGGGAGTTAGTTGCGTGTGGGGAAGATATTAGCTTCCCCACGACACCCCTTTCGGGTTCCCTATGATGGACTGTTTTTATAAAGAAATAAGAACATTAAAACTACGCTTTTACCTTTATTTATTCATTGCAAAATTTAAATTATTGACTACATGACCCTTAATAGCTAATGCACAAAGATAGTAACTAATAAAAGCGATAAAATAAAGTAAGGGATGTGAAAGAATCTTCGAAGCAAGCTTTTTTATAAATTACTCTTGAAAAGGGCGCTTTTTGGCAAACCCCACTCTCTACAATGATGCTCACTCTTCTCTCGAAGCACTTTAGAATGCCTTCTAAGAACTTTAAAACTCTAGAAATGCTTCAGAGGGGTCCTAGGAGAGTATTTTGAGAAGTATGCAGTTGCACAAGTTGTAGAAGTTGTTGAAAATGAGGAGAAGACTCTCCCTTTTATAGAATCGCACCTGTCAGGTGAGAACTGTCGTCTCGCCTTAGGCAAGTGGCGAGACGGCGGTCTCGCCCTTAGCCAATGGCGAGACGACGGTCTTGCCAAACAAGACGGCGGTCTCGACCCTTTGGGTAGAATTTCTTATTTTTTGTGTACAAAAAACCTTCCTATTCTAGTATGGAGCCTATTGATCAATCCTAGGGACCTTTAAGGCCTTGCTCATCTTCGAATGAAAGTCTTCTGCTCTTTATTTTGAGGCGGGACAAGATTTGGGGTCTACAATGAGCTTATTTCCTTTTGTCAAAAAGAAGGTATCATTCATGAGTCATCATGTGTCAAAACACCTCAACAAAATGGAATTGATGAGGGGAAAATGGGCACCTTCTATACCAAACTCGGACTCTTCTTTTTCAACATAAGGTTCCTAAAAGGTTTTGGGGGGAGGTTATTCTCACTGCCTGTTATCTAATTAGTAGACTACCTTCTAGTATTCTAGCTTCCAAAAGTCCTATGGAGGTTTTGTCCTCTTTTTATCCTAATGTGTCCACATCCAACCACCTTGTTCCAAGAATATTTGGGTGTGTATCTTTTGTTCATGTCCACAGTGGTGATAGAGGTAAACTTGATCCTAGAGCCTTAAAATGTGTTTTCATAGGATACTCATCAACACAAAAGGGATATAAATGCTATCATCCACCGTCCCAAAAATTCTGTGTCTAGAGATGTCACCTTCTTTGAGCGCAAAAGTTACTTCAACCAAAATCATCTCCTGGGGGAGACTGCCAGAAATGAAGATGAACTTCTTATGTTCCCTAACTTAAGTTTAGGACCAGAAATAGGGATTAAAAGTGTAACAACAGAGAAGGAACCCACTAAATCCACTCAAGATGGGGTTGATGTAAGATTTGGGAAAAAACTGGTTTATACAAGGAAGACAAAGGCCATTGTAGAATATGTCCATGTACAACAATCCAACCCAACATTACTTGAGGTAACTACCCCTAATCCTTTAATATACACTGAATCAACCTTTGATTTTCCAAATGTACGGGAACCTGAATCCAGTTCAGCACCACTTTATGAGGACCTAGATATTCCAATTGCCCTTAGGAAAGAGACTAGGAAATGTACCACCAAGCCACTATACCCTCTAACCAATTACCTATCCTTTAAAAAATCTCACCTACCCATAAAGCCTTTCTCAAGGCCTACACGCTACAACCACACCTACCTCTTTATCTGAGGCATTGAGTGATAAAAAAGGGAAACAAGCCATGGACGCCGAAATGGAAGCATTAGTTAAGAATAGTACTTGGGATTTGGTTACTCTCCCAAATGGAAAAAAACCAATAGGGTGCAAGTGGGTATATACTATAAAATACAAGGCTGATGGATCCATTGAGAGGTACAAAGCAAGGTTAGTAGCTAAGGGATTCATTCAAACCTATGGAGTGAATTACATGGAAACATTTGCTCCAGTTACAAAAATGAATACAATTAGGGTGATATTATCCCTAGCAACTAATTATGGTTGGAACTTGCAATAATTTGATGTTAAAAATGTCTTCCTCCATGGAGAAATTGAAGGGGAGATCTACATGGAATTGCCCCCTGGATATGGTGGAAAAACAGCTGCCACCAATGTTTGCAAGCTAAAAAAGGCATTGTATGGGCTGAAACAATCACCGCGAGCGAGGTTTGGAAGGTTTACTAAAGTTATGATAGGTCTGAGCTTTAAACAAAGTCGAGGAGACCACACTTTGTTCATTAAACACTCTAAGTTGAGGGGAGTAACAGTGTTACTAGTTTATGTGGATGATATTATAGTGACAGGTGATGATGAGGAGGAGCAACAACTGTTAGGCCAACATCTGGCCAAGAACTTTGAAATTAAGACCTTGGGAAAATTGAAGTATTTTTTGGGAATTGAAGTGACCCATTCTAAAAAGGGAATATTCATATCTCAACAGAAATACATCATTAATTTGTTGAAAGAAACTGGTAAGACAACATGCAAGCGTGCAAGTACACCAATTGACCCAAACCTGAAATTGGGAAATGTAGAAGAAGATATTGCAGTTGACAAGGAAATGTATCAAAGGCTAGTTGGTAGATTGATATATTTATCTCACACTAACCTGATGTTGCATTTGCTGTGAGTCTAGTTAGCCAGTTCATGCACCAATCGAAGGAGGTTCACTTACAAGTTGCACTAAGATTTGTGCAATATTTGAAGGGGACCCTAGGTAGGGGAATTTTGTTTGAACGAAATGGGAATGCAAGTCTGGAAGCATATACAGATGCAGACTATGCAAGGTCAATTGTGGATAGGAGGTCAACTACGGAATATTGCATTTTCCTTGGAGGGAATCTTGTGACTTGGAAGAGTAAAAAACAAAATGTGGTAGCTAGATTCAGTGCTGAAGCAGAGTTCAGGACAATGGTACAAGGGATATGTGAACTACTTTGGCTGAAGATCATCTTGGAAGACTTAAGGATAAAATCGGATGAACCAATGAGACTTTATTGTGATAACAAATCTACTATTAGCATAGCTCATAATTCAGTGCAGTATGATAGAACCAAACACATTGAGGTTACCAGACATTTTATCAAAGAAAAATTTGACAGTGATCTGATCTGCACTCCATATGTCTCCTCACAAGACAACCTTGCAGATAATCTAACGAAAGGGCTGAACAACAACTTTGAGAGTATTGTTTTCAAGCTGGGATATTCACAAGCTTGAGAGGGAGTGTTAAAATCTGTTTTATTAGCTGTTTTATTTCTGTCAGGATTTGTGTTTTATTGTTTCCTTATTTAGTATATTATAATTATAGTGTATGATGGTATCCCTGAATCATAGGGATTCGGTTGTTTAGGTGCTATTATTATACTTCCTAAAATAGCTTTCTAGTCTTGTATATATGAATTGTATTCTCAGAATAATTATATAGCGGATTCTACCCTAAATTGTAAGAGAAACTTTTCTTTCTATAATTCTAAACCAGTTTCCATCAATATGGTAGTTACGGAAAAGCAGAATGATGACTGTGAAAACGGTCTAATTTTCATGCTCTTTTCTTTTGGGGGGACACTTAAATTTAGGTATGGCTGGAGTAAAGTGAGAAACCTACTTAATAGATTAATTTGTTCTAATTTTGGTATTCTAAGTCAAATTATCGATTACCATGTCTGCTTGTAGATGTGATTTAATTGAATGCTTAATGCCTTTTGATATAAATAAGTTTTCGTTGAACCATTAGGTCTTTGACTGAAATAGTATTAATTCAAACTCATTTTACATTTACTTATTTTCCTTGTTTTTGACTAGCTAAATGGTGGATCAAAATTATTAATCTCATTATCAAAATGTTCCTTTGCTTGCTTCAGGAACCTCTGAAGCCTTTATGCATGCAGTTGCAACCGAGAGCCAACTCAAGCGTTCAAATGATTCACTACTTATATTCTCGTTGATCTATATAATCTTCAATGTCTTGCTAATAAGGTTAGCTGGGGCAGTTGGCTTGATAATGGCAAATTCTCTCAGTATCCTTTGTACCTTACTGTTATTTATTTCACGCTATTTCATAATTTACAATTTATTTTTTCTTTATGGAAAGCCATGTGGATGCTCAAACGTTTCAGTTATTATTTATAACCTATTTGATCAAATGAAGGTTAAAAAAATTATGATTCAAGTGTGAAAGAGATTATGATTGAAAATAATAAAAAGGCATTCATCACCAAAAAGATGAAGATAAATTGAAAACAAATCGCGTGGGTAATGTTCCATCTCTTGGTTAATTCTGTATTTTACTTGCATAATTATTATAAGATATAGATCAACATGCTGAATTGAATTCAAAATGCATCTTAATCGCAAACAAAGAACCCCCCTCCTCATATACCTAAAAATAAATAAGAGCGTAAACAATTACTTGATGATTTTGTGCCTGTGAGAAACAATGATCAGGAATTTTTGTATTCTGTTATTAGCATTGGTTTTTCAGCTCTAGATTATGGTGATCGAGAACTATGCGAAGGTGATGATATTTGCCGTTGTTACATATTTTTATGATCTTCACGTTCTATAATGGAGCGACTGCTGAATTTGTCTAACAGCATGTTTCTGAATCTTATCGAATGTTTTGCCTAGATAAGTAACGCTGACAGCTTACCAATATTTTATTTTACAGCTAGACTCAGTAACCTAGATACTTCTGTATAAGCTGCTAAAATCTGATGTCATTATAAGTTCAAGTATTACTAGCATACCGATAAGATACTGTTAGATTATTACAAATGTTCCCTTCGTTAATCTCCCAAGAATTTTTTATGTGGTCCCCGTCAGTTCAGCCTATGATTTCCATATTTAATTTGCATAATTTGTTGAAGAGAAAAAGTTTCGTATGGTTACTTGACTTGACTAAAGATATGACCTTGAGGATTTTATACTCTGCCATATTCATAAAGAATTACTTCCAGGTATGGCTATTGGCTTTGATTGATTAACTGTAATTTGATGCTAATTCTTCCAACCTCAGATTTCTTTTTTTTTTTTGTCCACAGGGATCTTCGTCGTTTTCTTTCTATGGATGCTTGCCGTCAGGATGGATTATTCTGTTACTTTCAGGCATAATCACTCTCATTTCTGAGAATGTATTTTTGGACCGAGATAATTTCTGGCCATCATTCATAGTCCATTTCTCTGTTGGGCTGGGTTGCTTCTGCGTGTCATCATACGTGATGTATATCCATATTTCTTCTATTTTTTTTATTTTTTTTTTACTTCGATGATCTTGTGTTGAATATGATTGTTTTTTCTTGTTTCCTTTTGTTAAAATACTTTTTTCTTTTCCTTTTAGCTATTGCCGGGAAAAAACTTTCATCAGAAGAATCATTCGCTTTAATGATCATGTGGACTAAAGACTTCTGCAATATAAGTTGGAGGTGAGTTTTTCTTTGAAACAGCTGGCTTTTTAAGATTTATTCTTGGACATTATAAATGGCATATTTGGTGCAGTTGGTGGAAGATGATGGAATGTCAGTTAGTTTTTTATAAGCTATTTCCCAATCAGCAGAATAGTGGCATACATAACCTCACCGGTTCAAATTTTTGGTATCTGTACAATATTTACTTTAATCATATTTTTCTATAAACTATTGACGTAATGAATTAAAAAATGACAGTTTTTTTAGGGTTTCAGCTGTGTCTATTTATTCAAGTTCTTGTCGAAGTTAAGCGGCGTGTATTGTGTAACGTATAATGCACAACAAATTTAGTGGTTTCTATTATTCCCAAAATTTTACAGACATATTTCGTGGAAGGTTTCGTATTTCATCTTACGAGGGAATACTACTGTATGTATTACATTTAATTTGAAAAAAAGAGATTCCGCATGCGCGCTTCGTGCTAGTGGTCATAATGTTTAAAGTTGAAAAGTTCATTGGATTTTCCTCCTCGCTTTTTGTATAAATAGAGATTCGGCATAATTTCTTTTCATTGTGATTTTGCAGCTTAAAAATATCTATAATCTCTTTGAAGGACAAAAGTGGTGTAACAAAAGCATATATTTCTGAGAGATTAGTGCTCTATGGTTGAGCATTTGGATTTCCAAATCGTAAATTATAGACCAAACACTGTTTATTTCACCAGCAGTAGCAAAGGTTTTCAGCATCCACGTCAAGTATCCAATGTTTCAGGAAATGAGGGAGGGGATGTCAAATTGTTGAAGGTTTTGTCAACTTAAAATTGTCAGTTGTAGTTTACTTAGATTACGAAACACCTTTTTAATGACGACATTAGAGTTCCAGGATATTCCAAGGGCTTAAACGTTAGCATTAAGTTTTGACGTGATGCCATTTAACTTTAGAAGAAATAAAGATATCAATTATAAGTCATATGAGCAGACTAAACTGAAAAATAGAATGGCATGATCTTATGCATAAGTTTCTTCTTGAAAAACAATAATAAATAAATTAAAATTAGTTTTTTTTTTCAATGTATGATGTACTTTTTATAAGTTCTTTCGCATAATCGTTTTATTTTTAACTTGGACATAACTTAATTTAATTTATATATTTTTTAAATAATTTACGCGTAAATTTATTCAACACATGACCCTTATAAAACAATGACTTCAGTTATAATATAAAAATCAAAGACAATTACATTTAAGTTGTGTTTGGACAAAAGCTTTGGACAGAATTTATTTTGTAAGATTTTTTTAAATGTTTTCTATACAAATATTTTAATTATTTGATAATTTCAAATTTTACTTAAAAAAATAAGAATTAAAATTCCTCATTATATATTTCTTAATTTTTCTTTCTCATTTTCTTTTTTTTTCTCTTCCCACCCTCTCCCTTTTCTAGACACGATACTTTTAAAATTTGAAATTGATAAATCCTTATATCTTAATCGAAAAAATTGAAAGAAAAAAATTGGCAAGACTTATGAGGAGCATAGCTATGTATCTGTCAGTGAATCTGTCATATGGGTGAGGGGGAGGTTTCAAAAGTCAACACCAGTCCATCAAAAAGCAAAGCAGTGATGAAGGAAATGGCTAGAAAGAAACAAAGATGATGATTCATAGGACACCCACCTCCACGGGTATGTCTGTTGGCCTCCAATGTCACTGCAAATTATCAACAATGGTAATTATATCTTTGAAAGCTTAGGTAAAAAAAGTAGAAAGAGCAGATGAAGCTTATGATTAAAATGCAGACTAGGATCTAGACGAGCATCCAACCATCAAAATGAGTATAAAGTGCGATTCATCTTCTAAACAAAATGATGTCATTTTTTGAGCTTTGCTTAAGAGGTTGGATTCTGTGGTGGACTTCACTACAGTTTGGTTTTTTGCTTTCCATTGCATGGCTGCCCGACACATGATCAGGGAAGATACAAACACCAACATTGAAATCAAACCAAAATAACTAACCTTTTGGTGCCAATTGTTCAACTTTATGGTGATGAATATTTTTGGAGATATACTTAAACATATATTTATGTCGTTGATTAAGTGTGAAGGGCGGTGAACATTTTAGTGTCATAGGGACGAAATGGTAAAGTACATTTTTGTTCATCCAATTATTTAATTAGAGAAAACAAAAAGGGGAAAGAATGGCCCTCTTTGGTCAATGAAGTCAAGCTTGTCAATTCTCAAAGATTTGAGAATCAGAACAACCCCAATAAAACAATTTAAGTGTTACTTGAACTTCGGTTTAGTGGCATCTGAATCCTTACATGGAAGTGGTCCATTGCCCCTTTTCCCCAGCAATATTAGTTTTTTGCTTCTTAATTAACATCTATTATCTACCCAAATTTCGTGCATTGATGCATTGAAATTTAAACTAGAAAAAAAAATACAGAAGGGAAAAAAAAAGTGAAAATCTTGGTATCAGAAACGTTGATTTGATGAAGCTTGAATGTGATGCATGCAAAGATATAAATGAGGCAACAGTGTTAAGAAACAGCTCAAGGTAAGAAATGATTCATTGTGTTACTCTGCTAGCACTGGCCCAAGGGTAGACATTATTGACCAAATATATCAACATGAAAAGGAAAGTTGAAGAATGTGACAATTTTTTTAGCTTCATTGAGATATTGAGGTCTCTCTCTCTCTCTCTCTCACTTAAAAACAGACTCTAAATTCCATTAGCATGCATTATGCTTTGTGACATTACTTTAGAAGGTATAAATCATTTGGCTGTCCATTCATCTCTTCTCATATCTGGCGTTAAAGCATCTTTTTTACAACAAACACCATATGAATATGATAAAACATGACATATAATCATTATAATGGGACCCAACACTCTTAAGTTCTCTTCATAACTTTCCTTAGTTTAAATTCACCTATGCCCATAAAGGTTCACCAACAACCAAAGCAAAGCTTTCAAATTCCTCATCACTATGAATTCCTCATCACATGGATCCATCATCTACCTCCTAATTATCCTCTCAACTTTTTCTAATTTGACAAGAAAAAGTTTGGTTTATTTTTGCGTGATATACAACTAATGAACCTGTCTTTTTTATTTATTATTATTTTTCTCTCATTCTACTTTGTTTTCTATTGTGAAGTTAAGTTGGGTGCGGTTAAGTTCCATCCTTTTCAATGTGATCTTTATTTTTGTTTTTCTTGTCTTTATTTTTATCTTCTCTTATTTTAATGGTTTTTTTTGGGTGTGGGCCTCTTTTATTATTTCCTTAATGCGCTAATATTGTATTTTTTTTTAAGTTACAATGATTTCACTTAAAATTTTAGAAATTGTAAAATATCTAATCCAATTCTATAAAATAAGTTGATTAAGATATGTATTATAATATTTATGGGTGTCAAAGTAAGTCAACTCGGCTCGTATGAGCTGAGTTGACTTATTATAAGTTAAGTTTGAAAATAGATGAGTTTAATTCAACTCATTTTATGACAAACAAAAAATTTTACAATTCGACTCAACTCATTACGGGCTAGTGAGTTAGATGAGTTGACTCATTAATATATATATATATATATATATATATATATATATATATATATATATATATATATTTTTTTTTTTTCTAATAAGCATAACTCGAATCGAGAATGAAACACAATGATACAGATAACACGACAAATGTTGTGACACGATAAACGTTATGGCGTGACGAATATAGTAGTATGACAAACACTATATTGCAACAAATGTTGTGACACAACGAAAACACGACAAATGTTGTGACATGACTAAAACGTGGTGGTATGACAAACACAACGAATATGGTGATGTAATGATGCGAGCGAACACATGACAAGCGATTCAGGTGCACTTATGAATGTAGAGGTGTGACAGACAATTAATGATAAGTTTAAGTGAGGGTTTGTCCGGTGGTGTGGTGGAGTAGAGGTAGAGAGACATAATAGTATTAATTAGGATTACTAAATTATTATAATTATTTTAAAATTAAAATGAATGGTGAGTTGCAGACCAACCCACCATAACTCAACTCAAACCCATTGGTTTAAGTGAGATAAGTCTATTTTTAACCCATTATTGATAAAATAAATAAATTAAACTCAACCTTACTCAAATCCGTGATAAATTGGGTTAGCTAACATACTACAATCCATATTGACAATAATATTATCATATTTTTAATTGAGATAAATTTTCTCAACGTATCAAAAAATAATAAGTATTAACCTGATAATCAATAATTTAATTTACAGTTATTAATTATTAATTTCTCAATATCTCTAAAATTGACACTTATATTACTTTAAAAATTGGTAAGAGCTTAAATCAATCCTAAAAAACTAAAATCAGTATGATGAAAATTTTAATGTTATAATATATTTATTGGATGTTAAATATTATACCAAAAACTAAATAGCTCTCTGAATTTTATTTAACCAGTTTAAATTATCTGTATTCATAACGAATTTTGAAATTATTATTGTTGTTTTATGTGATGAGATCATCCATATATCTACGATCTCAAAATAGATTAAATCAAACAATGATAATCCCATGGTGAAAAGATTAGAACTCTCATAAATATGATTGAGTCATAATTAAGGAACATGTACTCAATTTTTTTTTAATTTATGTATAATAATAATAATAATAATAATACCAATAATAATATAATACTCATTTGCATGTTATATAGAATATGATATGACAGTTTAACACGAATAATTTTTTTAGTAAAAGTTTAGTGTCATATATGTATGTATATGTCAATGGTGCCTGGCTGAGAAACTACATTTGTGATAATTATTGATATGAACATAGTAATTAAGTTGTGGATGATTGAAATGTAAAACATTCCCTAAGGGTGTAACTGTTAAAGTTTTTGGTTAAATCAGTGTGATCAATATTGACTTAGAGGAAAGGTGTCACATGCTCATCTTCAAACCCTCATAATTCTGTTCTCCACTTTCATTAGAAACTATTATAATAAAAAATAAAATTGAAGCAGATTGGGAGAAGCAGAAGAGAGAAAGAGGGTGAAAACTGTGAAGTCAAAGAGTAATATTATGAAGTGGAATGAAAGGACACTGTTATTCTCTGCAAAAAGAATGTAGGTGGGACTGTGGATGGACCCCAAACCTACTTTTCCCACCCTCTTCTCTTCTCTTCACTATAAACTTTCAAACTTTTTCATCATTCCTTTGTGGACCTCTCCTCTCTGTTCATTCCCATTCTCTCTCTCTCTCTCTCTCTCTCTCTCTCTCTCACCCTCCATGCTGTCTTGTCCTTTTACAGCTTTCCCCCTTCTTTCATAACCTTCATTTGCTTTCTATAATTCTGTCCATACAATAATATATATTTGATACTTCATCTATTGACAAAAAAATTATCTTTAAAATTTTAACATTCTTATAAAACAAATGCAAATTTAGTCAAAAATATATCTAGCTTTGACTTACTTGTTGTCTATTATTTCTCACATAGATGCTATTGTAATAATCATTCTTAATTATATTTACAGGTAATTAGAAAACAAAAAGGATTTTTAAAAAAAGTTAAAATGACTATTGTTTTAGAATAAAAATTAAAAAGAATACTACTGTTTTATAATGGTGTAAATATTAGCGACACTTCTTTTTATATTCTCTTCCTAAAACACTGTTTATGATTGGTTGAAGTTTACATTTCAAAAGGGTTCTATTTTAAAGCCAGGAGAAGTTGAATGGGAAGTGGAATTCATCAAAATTACTCATTTTAAAAATTTTAACCAATAAAAAAAAGTTTTAGGAAGATAATAGTATTAAAGAGTGTCCAAATTATAAATTGTTTTAACTATTTAATAGGAATTTGATTCTGTGTATGAAGGATACTTTATTAGAAAAAAAGAAAAAGTGATAAGACGAAAACTGTGAATAAGATTGAGATGTGTGAGATTCTTGGATCTCTATTTTTCAGAGGATATAACACAAACACTTAGTGTCCCATCCCATGCCATATTCTAGACATATTCACTAACATCAACACACTACCCTTTTTCTCTCAGTTTTTATGCATAGGAGCCTCAATCATTCTCTCTGCATTGCATTAAAATCTCTCTCTCGTTCCTTCATTCATTCATTTTGAACTCAACATCTCATTTTCAAAGACTAGTTTGGTTAATTATAGGTTGCATTTATGTCTAAGGACAATTGTTGCATTAGTTGTCGGTACCAAGAATCATTACATTAATCCACATTAACTCCAAACGGAGGGATTTTTTTTGTTTTGGTTACCTAGGTCACACACACTCCCACTGAACTTTAAGGTTTTAACCCGTTTCAAATTATTGAATTCAAGCCTTTTATCACTCTTTCAAAACATGAGGAAATTCAGAAAAAACAGTAGAATAGGTAACTAAAAAGAAACCTATAAACTGAAAATTGTGATACTGATAATTACTTACAGTCTAGTTTTCAGAAAAAAAATAAAATTATTTGATAATCCAAACTATCATTAGTCAATTCAAAATAACACTACATCTATTATCTAGTGTTATTTTGCACTGTCTTATAATTATTTGGGACGTCAACAATCACTACTTTTTTCAAAAATCGATTTTTTAAGTCAAATATTAACTTCATGTACACTCTTGTACAAAGTAAAATAATTAAGAGTGTAAGGAAATAGAATGAGAGTGATTTTACCTGCGGAGAACTTTCTTTTTCCAGAGTTAGTGATATAATAAGAGTATATTACTATCATGAAGAATTATCACGAATCTTATTCTATTTTAAATTGTTCTCACTATTAAAAAATATTTATTTTTATTTGTAGAAAATATTTAAATTTGTAGGAAACTTATTTTTTATATATTCTTATAAAAATTTGCAAAAAACATTCTTACTGTATATGAGAATTTCTATTATACGTCACTTGTTATTAACCTTTCTTTACAAATTTAGTTTAATGATTTAATAATATTGAAATTCCAGACAATTGATTTTTTTATAATTAACTGAATTTTCAGTATAACCTAAAAACAACAGTAATAATGGTTGAAAGATGAAAGATATATTTATACTAATATAAAATAGACTAAAATATAGTTTATTATTATATTCGATATTCTTAACTTTAAAAAAAAAACTTTAATCTCTCTTAATATTATAGTGTTAAATAATGTTACTTTTTTCATCTAATTTAATACAAATAATTATTTTACATCTTCTCAATAATACGTTTGATAATAATAAGAAAAAAATAGTGTATATATATATATATATATATATATAATATTCAAATATATAAATAATAACAAAAATGTGAATTCAAATATTATTTTTAAAATAATAAATTAAAACTAGATAGTTATATATTTACAAAATTATCCGTGTAATTATTAAATATTTTTTTATCAATAAAATCATTTTTTAAATTATTATTTTTAAGATCTCATTTAAAAAAAATATTTAAGTTTTTTTTATAAAATAATATACGAGAATTAGGGGTATCAAAATAGGTTTACTCCAATTCACAATCCAAAAGACCCGGACAATTGACCAGACAATATTATGAAATTTGTAATCTAAATTGAATTAGGTCTATTTTGGTCTGATCAATTGAGATCATGATCTATATGGACTTAGACCAAACTAACTTGTAGACTTACGAGATAACCCATTTTATAAAATAATAATAATATTATTATTTATATTTTATTATATATATATATATATTATAAATTATTTTGATAAAGGATTCCTTATTCTATGATTTAATGATTAAAATGAATTATTATTTTGGATTGATGAAAATGAAAGATATAATGAAGAGTAATTTTTTAACTCTTATTTTGAAACTAATTGAATATTTTTTTTATAATTTTATATATTAAATCATTATATTTAGAATAAAAATTATTTTCAATATATAATTTTAATTTTTAAATTATATTTCTAATCCTTATTTAAATATTTTTTAATTTATTATTTTTATATAGACATATTATTTTTTTTTTAATTTAGTTAAATTTGACTTATTAATTCGTTGTCCTAGGTAAGTTAAAAAAAATTATAACATATTTAAAATTATAAACAATCTGGAACATCGATTTTTTTATTAGATTAAACTGAAATGAAAGTTCGTTTTAACAGCTTAACCGAATAACCTTTTATAATTTTTTTTTACTTTTTATTTTTTCTTTAAATGTCAAAAGTTACATCTTTCTTTATTTGTCTAATAATTTATTAGAATATTTGTCTAATAATTTATTTGTATTCTAATTAACATACGAGAAAGATCTAGACTTGAAATATTTGATGAAGTAAAAAAGAAGATATTTTTTATTGTAGTTTATAATATGTCTGTACTAAGTATCATAGGTATAAACATTTATCATTTCTTCAAACATGAGTTTTCTTCTTTCAAAAGCTAAAGAAAAAGTGTTTAATTTTTTTTTAATATGTTAAAAATTGTTTTAATATGTTAATAAGTTTTGAAAAATCTTGGTTAGCAAATTTATCTGATGCATAATTGGTGTTATCAATTAAAACATTTCTGGAAAATAATCAGAGTTATTTTAATCGATTAATTCACTTTTATTACCAGTTAAAACGTTTATAAAAATATCCAAAATTCTTTTAATCGATTAAATCATGTTTTTAGTAGTCTTGGAAAAAATTAACAAAACCATTTTAATTGATTAAATCATTTTTTTATCAATTAAATCTATTTAAACCTGATTTGTTGAAAGCTAACTTTAGCTATTTTATTCAATTAATTCACAAATTAATTGATTAAATATACCAGTATATTCCATAATTCTTCTAATAAACAGATCTCCACTTTCATTCTAAAATAAACTTTGAGAAATCAATTAAGAAATATTTTAATAATTATTCCAATAAAAAAAATGCGCTCCGAGAACTATTCTTGAGGCTTTTTATTTCGTCTTTTTGAAGAAACTCAATTTGTGATTTGATTTCACTTTATTGTTATTGTTTTTTCAAATATCTTACTTTCATTCTGTTTCTTGTATTTTAAGTGTTTGAAAGTGTAGATACTTTGTGGTTGCTACTATAAGTTTAAGACCCGGTTTATAGTTTTTGAAGTAGATTGTGCTTCTACTATTTGTGTTTGTAATCAATTAAATTTTTTATTAATGGAACTCAATTGAAATTGTTCAAGAATTGGATATAGTTTAGTGGATTAGGTGAACCAGTATAAATTATGTTATTCTTATTCTTTTTTTCATTATATTCTTATATTCTTATTGTTCTGTCATTCAAATTAAGATTGATTTCAGTAAAACTTTAAAATTGATAATTTGAAAGTTGTGAAAATCTTTTAACATATAAACTCACCCCTCTTAATCTTAACATGTATATCTAACATATTCATATTTTTATAAATGAAAAATGCTAAAGTTTTGAAATCAGCTAAAATCAAAACGAGAGACGTAGAAAACTTCTAAAACATGACAAAATTATTAAATATAGAAAAGTTGACTTTTGTTAAAATTTGATGGAATAATATATATATATATATATATATATATATATATATATATATATAATTTTTTTTTTCAATCGTCCACAATCAAATTATAGAATAGTTGTGGCATGGAAAACCAACATTCTACTCCATCTTCTCATAGTAATGTTAATAATTTATTCAATTAAGTGTTAAATGTCATGCTAATATAAAAATTTCCCAACATTAATTGGTTTTCTAACGAGGAAAGTGTCACTAATGCTTTGTCAACTTCTATTAATTTATTGTAGTAGATGGTTTGAAGAGGGGATTTGTGGGGATATATATTGGTTTGTTTTTGCTGATTCGAGTGAATCTTGGGTGATAGAGAGGTGAGTCTCACACCCTTACAAATCTACTCTAAAATGGTTAGAAAATGGGTGGTGAAATAATAAATGTTTGGATTTCTTTCATTAACTTTTTTCTTCTGCATGAATATCCCATTAATTCATATAGACTATGTGAACTACTTTTTCAACTATATCACCCCAATAACACAAAATGTGATAAAGGACCATGTACATTTTGCATAATGAAAAAGAACATGTAAGTACATATTATTTCAATGTTTAGGGTTCATGTCTTCCTTATCTTTTAATTTTTATTTAATTTATTTATTCCACCTCGTTAGGATAATAACTCGTTAGGATAATTTGGTTATTATACTAAAAATATTGTTATTCAATTATCCTATATTTTATTACATCTTACTCGGCCGATAATTTAATCATTATACTAAAAATATTATTATTCAATTATCCTATATTCTATTACATTAAAAACATCAACAACAATAATTTCATTCAAATCCCTTCAAATCCAATATTTTTCCCTTAATCCGAAAACTTCACGTATCCCCTCAAACCACCTTAAATTTACTCTCTCGTACTCTCTCATATTTCCACCACCAGTATCCAAACACAAGTTAAAAGAAATATGATAATTAGAAAATATGTTGGTAATATATATATATAATACAGTATTAAGAATTCTCAGTTTCATTGTATTGTAATTTATAAAATATGGTTGAAAAATTTATTTAATTTGATTGATTATAATATTTTTACAGCTCTAAAGTATATTTTCGAAGTGAAAATTTTGATGTCTACGTTTTCCAAGTATATTGTGAAACACTAATTTGGTCTTAAAACATCTTTCCAGAGTGAGACATGTAATGGGAAGTAAAAGTGAGGCACTTCAATATCCATCACAGAGAACAGCACAAAACCAGGGAAGTCACGTCATGAAGTTTCTAGAGCAGAAAGAAAGGTACCATCAAAATGAACTTTGCGGTGATGTCAGAGGCAGTAAACCTGTTGCAGTTCCAAAACCAACCTGTGTTGTTTGTCACCAAGTGCATAAGTAATTGTATTTCGATATATTTTTTGAACAACACTGTGTTTTAAGATATGGTTGGAAAGAGTAGATACAAAGTGAAGAGAAGAGGATTGAAGAAATTGAGAGGGAATCACGCGTGGGGTGGGGAAGGATTGGCTATCCTAACCATCATAGCGTATCACATGAGACAATGAAAATGGTGGGGCCATCAACATTAGTCATGCGAGGAAGCCTCATTGATGATGGATCATTCATGCTCACTACTACCTCCTACACTCATTCATACACCCTATGCTTCTGCCTCACCTCACCACACCACTATAGCCTGATCATAGTCCTTGGCTTTGGCTATTGCCATTGAGTGTGCTACTGGTGTACCTCTTTTCCATCATGCCATGCTTATTCCAAACCATGCCTATTACAAAGTGCATATTTCCATTGCTAAATAATGATTATAAATCATGCATGGAGTGCCAACATTTTGAAGCTTGCTTGAGAGCGAACAAAAGAATTGTATTGCGTTTTGTCATTTTGTTAGCTTTCCCTGGATGCATTAAGTCTGGTCCATCTCAGACATGTCCTGATCATGGATTTGAGAGGATAATCACCATGCAGACAGTTCCTATAACGGGGGCAAATCAAACTACTAAGTTACAACTACCACCTACGTTTGAATAGTTACATTAATTCCTCTCCAAAGTGGTTCTATTTTTCATTTTTGTTTGAACAAACACATATACACAACACATCACTCATCATCATTTACATTTTCAAACATTTAATTGTGATAAAAAAAAATGCATATCAGTAGAGATGAAATAAGGACAAATTGGACATGCAACGCATTGAAAATATCTGTAGTACTTCTAATAAATGAAAAAATAAGAAAAAAGAAAAAGAGATGAAGCTACGATCCTGAAACATATTAGGGAGAAAGTATGAGGGGTATAAGGGAGACAGATGAAAGGGGTTGTGGTGCCCACGAAAGCACTCCTCACCAAACCAATGCCTCAAATGGGTCCCGATTCCTGTGTGAACTGTGGCGTGGTCTCCGCTTCTGGCAATGTTGTTAGCCCCACTCCACACTTCACAGACATGTGCCTATCTGAACCTCACTTTTGTTGTTGTATTACCTGTTTTGGTCATTTCACCAAATCTTTGAACTTATTTTTCAAGTTTCAAAATGTCCCAAACCTCAACTCTACCATATGTTCCTGCACTAACGCTCCCTTTGTTTTAAGATTGCTTTCATACGTAGGAAATGTACATGAATACTTTAGATTCCCCTCTATGCCCTCAAAACAGTGACCATACATACATGCACACTATACAAGTACGTACCTACGTTTCTTCCTTGCATGCATGAAACCCCACTTTTGTTTTCCTCTTACAATTTGTCCCTGTTCTTACTTTCATTTCATTCTCCATTATCGCTTTCATATACATATTTAATTAGGAAAAGACATGCACGGACACGTGCTCTCTGCTCAGTCTAAGAGCAGTAGATGACGAAAGCTCTTCCATGTAGATTTCTTGAACCGTGAAAGCATCCTTCTCACCCTACAAATTGAATCTGGTGCGAGATGAGAGAGAAAAAAACTAAGTCTGACATGGAATAAGCATGTAGCATTTAGTCCAAACTTCTCGCTATCATTTTATGACTCCAATGGTAGCAGAGATTGCCTACAGAATAAACAGGTATTAGAGGTGTATAAAAGAGGAATGTGGAATCATCCAGGTGTAAAATGATGCATGGACACTTATACACTGTTAAACACCTACTTGACTAATACACAGAAAAGAAAGAGAAATATAAATATGAGAAAAGTGGTATGATATAATTAAGAAAAAAAATGAAAGTATATACATTAAATAAAAAGTTATGTATGTGTTCATATATTATTTATTACCCGTTACAATTTTACAAACATCCTTGTATAATATTGAAGAATAAACACATTTAAACTTATCTTCTAATATGTTTTGAAAGTATATTTTTGAAGTACGGAAGAAAACTCTTCTACAATATAATAAAGTTAGATATTCCATCAGTACGTAAAACAATACAAAATATTTTTCTTTTCTCTATTGATTTAAAGATGAATGTTAAATGGCACACTCTAGGATTTCTCAATGACATGTTTGTGCTGTGCAATTGTCCAAAAATGGTAACCCCTATTCAAAATATCGTGTTTCTCTAAAACTAAGATGTAGTAATTAATTTCAGGTAGGTTTTGAGTAGGATGATAAATAAAAAACTCATTCAATCTCAGAGCTCAATTTATTATTGGGTCAGGTTGTGCACTGTTGTTGTCTCTTAAACATGTTCATGTATCATATAGTGGAGAAATTATGCATCATTAGTTAAGAATGGTTCTTTTTCTGACATCACTCATGTTCTGTTCGCAAAACTATGCATGCAAATCCCCCATCTAGTACGGCACAATTAGCCTTTTTGGCGTTCTTTCGCTTATTCCTATAATAATCAGCATTTCCTGGTCCCTTCTGCTACTTACCCAAACCAGTTGCTATCTACACACATTCTGAATTCTCTGTCCGATGAGTTTTGGAAGCACGTCATGGATCATTATCATTTTTGAGTAAAGTAATTTAAAAATAATAATTTATTCGAAAATCATTTCTGTGTTTGATATATGTAGATGCCACAATGTTTCTTAATAAAAAATAAAATAAAATGTTTTGGTGCATGGATGACCTAATTTATTTACATAGTAGTACCGCACTAGTAACAGTAAGATGAATAAAGATAATGAGACATGCGTTTTAACAGAAGAAAAAGATGTTGGATGGCAGTATGTATGTAAACTCTGTAACAAATTGGGATGAGGATGATTGTGTTTGAAGCTTTATTCTTATCTTAAGAAATACTTTAATGACGTTAATGATGCAAAGTAGTAATTGCTCATCATAGTATTGCTTTAATGAAGTCAAACTCTGCAAAAGCGACAAAATTTAAGCATAGTCGGTATTTAATTAATATAGTACTTGTAGTAGTATTAGTTAAGCATCACCATTGAACCCATCATTCTACGACACTCTTTTCATCAATGCTTTCAAATTGGCAAAACCATTATCTTGAATTTCAAACACCCGCGCCAATTCAGGTCAGAGAATATGCTCACATTTTCTTTTCTTCTTCTTTTTTTCATTTCTTAGTCTCTAAGAAGTCTTTCTACCAAAACAATGGCCAATTCCTCTGACGGTCTATTACCAACCACTTTTAATTCTAACGAACATCCATGAGTTAAATAAAGGGATATATAAAATAGTGCCAGGTATAACTGCTAACATGTAAGATTCATTTATAGAAGAATTTGTGGTGTTTAGTAATATTATCGGTGACGAGAAATTAGGCTATAAATTTAAGTAAGGAGCTACTACAGAAAAAGAAGTACTATATTGAAAAAAACAATGATAAAAAAAGGTGACATTGATGGATCGTATAAATAGAAAACGGGGTCAAATGGCTTAACTTGTACCATACCTGGACTGCGTTTGGAATTTGTTTTATGTGTGTTTTCCGGTGGGAAATGCACTGGTAGAACCATTTATAAGGACAGAAAAGAGATTGGACAATAAGATAGATTTTGTTGGTTATCAATGTTTGGATGGTTCAAGATTTTCATTTGTTTAAAACTGAGAAAGTTTGCTAAGTTGGTTCTCCTTGCGTCCAATACGTCCAAATCAGTGTCTAATGATAATCCAAATCTGGTCCCAAAATCTTGTCACTATTATATGTATGGGTGAATGATTTATTTATATAGCTAGATCTTCGTGTATGGACACTGCATTCCGTGATTGGGATTATGCAGACATGCTGGAATTAGCCAATTTAGAATATTTGTGGTCCATACTTAACTGTTTTGGACAAGGTTCTCTCACCTGAATCTCCATGCTGGAGCCAAGGAATATAGGATAGAAAGCAAAGCCCCAAAATATCACCCTAAAGGAAAAGAAGGGAGGGGAACAAATAAAGCAGAAATTAAAGCCTTTCTCTCTATGTGTATATATATATGCATAAAGAAGAGAAAACCAAAGAAAAAGAAAAATAGGTTTATTTAAAATAATGGTTTGGGGGAATTTGGTGGGAAATTGAGATGGCTTTCTTGGATCCTGCGAGAGACAATGTCACTGTGGCACATATTTATCAATTTGTTAGCCAAAGATAAAGGAAACAAGGGAATGATGAAAAGTGGGAGCAAAAGAAAAGGAGAAAAGAATTCCGAGAAAATTAAAAGTATGAGTGGAGATAGCAGACAAAGGAAGAATACTGAGGTAAGAGAAAGAGAACAAGACAGAGAAAGTGATATGAGATGATGCTGTGTGAGCTCAAATAAAGGGACCGGACCGTAGAGAGGAGGATGTAGATGGATGGTGGTGTGGTATGATAGAAGACGAAGTGGAAGAAGTAGTGGTTACTCTCTTTCTCTCTCTATAATTCATGTCTACCAGTAGCACCAACAAAACCCACTGAAGCAAACTATCATGATGAAACTCCCTCTGCACCCTGCACTCCGAAAAAGCGATTGCCATCCTCATCAAAACCTTCCTTCCCTTAAATTTACCCCTTTGAACACCACCCCCTTCTCATCCACAACTCCCACCACCCCAAAACCATGAAACCTTTTCTTCTCTTTCTCACATTCTCCTTCCTCTGCCAAACACACCTACTCCTAGTTCTCTCTGCCACAACCCTGCCTCTCCAACTCATCTCCCTCCTCTCAATAAAATCATCCCTCCTAGACCCTCTCAATAGCCTCCATGACTGGGACCCCTCCCGCACCTCCTCCAACTCCAATCCCCAAGACCCAATATGGTGTTCCTGGAGAGGCGTCACATGCCACTCCAAAACATCTCAAATCACCACCCTCGACCTCTCCCACCTCAATCTCTCCGGCACAATCTCACCCCAAATCCGCCACCTATCCACCTTAAACCACCTTAACCTCAGCGGAAATGACTTCAGCGGAAGTTTCCAATTCGCCATTTTCGAGCTAACGGAACTGAGAACTCTAGACATCAGCCACAACTCCTTCAACGCAACCTTCCCACCCGGTATATCAAAGCTCAAGTTCCTCAGGCACTTCAACGCCTACAGCAACAGCTTCACCGGGCCCCTCGTTCAAGAGTTAACCAGCCTTCGTTTTCTGGAACACCTGAACCTCGGCGGAAGCTACTTCAGCGACAGGATTCCACCAAGTTACGGCACTTTCCCGAGACTCAAGTTTCTAGAATTAGCCGGCAACGCCTTGGGAGGTCCACTTCCACCCCAATTAGGCCACTTGGCTGAACTGGAACACTTGGAAATTGGATACAACAATTTCACAGGAACACTACCCTTGGAACTGGCATTGCTCTCTAACCTCAAATACTTGGACATCTCAACCGCAAACATCACCGGGAACGTGATGCCGGAGCTGGGAAACCTCGTCAAGCTGGAGACACTTTTACTGTTCAGGAACAGGTTAACAGGAGAAATCCCACCAAGCATAGGAAGATTAAAGTCCCTGAAAATCCTTGACCTCTCGGATAACGAACTCACAGGGCCAATCCCCACACAAGTCACCATGCTAACAGAACTAACCACGCTCCACCTAATGCAAAACAACCTAACCGGAGAAATACCACAGGGAATCGGAGACCTACCGAAGCTAGAGACTCTGTTCCTCTTCAACAACTCACTCACCGGAACCCTCCCTCAACAACTGGGCTCCAACGGGTTACTACTGAAACTAGACGTTTCAACAAACTCAATCGAAGGTCCAATCCCTGAAAATGTCTGCAAAGGTAACAGGCTCTTGAAACTCATACTCTTTCTCAACAAGTTCAGTCATACTCTTCCACCATCCCTCGCCAACTGCACCTCACTCGCCAGGGTTCGCATCCAAAACAATTTCCTCAACGGTTCAATCCCGGAAGGCCTCACGCTCCTCCCTAACCTTACATTCCTAGATATCAGCAGTAACAACTTCCAGGGTCCAATTCCGGAAAGCTTAGGTAACTTGCAGTACTTCAACATCTCCGGAAACTCGTTCGGAACCTCCTTACCTGCATCTATTTGGAATGCAACTAATCTCGTAATCTTCTCCGCCGCTTCGTCGAACATCACTGGTCAAGTTCCAGATTTCATTGGGTGTCAGCAATTGTATAAGCTCGAATTGCAGGGAAATTCCATCAACGGTACGATTCCATGGGATATTGGACACTGCCAGAAGCTGATTTTACTGAATCTGAGTCGAAACTCACTCACCGGGATCATTCCCTGGGAAATCTCTACTCTCCCTTCCATCACCGACGTTGATCTCTCTCACAATTCCCTCACTGGAACCATTCCCTCAAACTTCAACAACTGCTCCACGCTCGAGAATTTCAACGTGAGTTTCAACTCCCTCACCGGTCCAATTCCATCGTCCGGCATCTTCCCGAACCTCCATCCTTCCTCCTACTTCGGCAACCAGGGCCTCTGCGGCGGCGTGTTGGTCAAGCCCTGCGCTGCGGACGCCCTCGCCGCGTCCGAAGACCAGGTCGACGTCCGCCGCCAGCAGCCGAAGCGAACCGCCGGTGCAATCGTGTGGATAGTAGCCGCCGCGTTCGGCATCGGACTCTTCGTGCTGGTGGCCGGGACGCGCTGCTTCCACGCGAACTACAACCGGCGGTTCGGCGAGGAGGTCGGGCCGTGGAAGTTAACGGCGTTCCAGCGGCTGAATTTCACGGCGGAGGACGTGCTGGAGTGCTTGTCGATGTCGGATAAGATATTAGGGATGGGATCGACTGGAACAGTTTACCGCGCCGAAATGGCAGGTGGCGAGATGATAGCCGTTAAGAAGCTGTGGGGAAAACAGAAGGAGAATATCCGACGGAGGAGAGGGGTTCTGGCTGAGGTGGAGGTGTTGGGAAACGTGAGGCACAGGAATATCGTGAGGTTGTTAGGGTGCTGCAGCAACAGGGAGTGTACCATGCTTCTCTACGAGTACATGCCCAATGGCAACTTGGATGATTTGTTGCATGCCAAAAACAAAGGAGATAATCTCGTCGCCGATTGGTTCACCAGATACAAGATCGCCCTTGGCGTCGCTCAGGGAATCTGCTATCTTCACCACGACTGTCACCCCGTCATCGTCCACCGCGATCTCAAACCTAGCAACATTCTCTTGGACGCTGAGATGGAGGCCAGAGTCGCAGATTTTGGAGTCGCCAAGTTGATTCAGACCGACGAATCCATGTCCGTCATTGCCGGATCCTACGGCTACATTGCTCCAGGTCATTATTCTTCTTCCTTCCTTCATTTTTTTCTTATTTACTCTTTCAAATTATGTTACATATTTCTGCATATCTATTGTTTCATTCAGTTTCATGAGCTTGATTTATAAATTTTGCTTGATGGTGTTGGAAATTATTATCAAATTCAATAGCCCTTCACATGGATCATTTATTATGTTAGTTACTGGATCCTGGGTGTGTTAATTAACAAAAAGAATAGTTAGTGGTAGAAAAAGCAAGTGAGTAACAGTGAAGGGTGGGTGTGAACAAAGTTTGAACGAGGGAGGCAAATGTGAGGATAGATAGATTGGGAGGTGCATCTAAGACCACGAGAGGGACTTTTCCTGAACAATTTGGGTGCATGGATAGGCGTCCTGTTGCGCATGAAGGGAGAAGGCTTTTCCTTTATTTTTATTTTCTTAACTTTCGCCACCTGCTTTTCTCAATGATCTTGCTGGTCCCCACTGAGAATATTGTCAATTATCATAACTCCTTTGAATCATGAGGATGTTGACTTTGGGTGGAATAACCATAATGGTGTTTGTTTTGTTGTTGTCTTATTACTGCGTTAATTAATTAATTGTACTTCCTTACTAAGGGTGTTGTTTGTTCCTTTGCAGAATATGCTTACACACTTCAAGTGGATGAGAAGAGTGACATTTACAGCTATGGGGTAGTGTTGATGGAGATCCTAAGCGGAAAACGTTCTGTGGATGCAGAATTTGGAGATGGGAACAGCATAGTGGATTGGGTGAGGTCAAAGATAAAGTCAAAAGATGGGATTGATGACATATTGGACAAGAATGCAGGGGCAGGGTGCACATCAGTGAGAGAAGAGATGATCCAGATGCTTAGAATTGCATTGCTTTGCACCAGCAGAAATCCTGCAGACAGGCCTTGTATGAGGGATGTTGTGTTGATGCTGCAAGAGGCCAAGCCAAAGAGGAAATTGCTTGATAGTGTTGTAGGCCAAGCCAATGTGGTTGCTGCTCCTGACATTCCTTTGCCTCAAAAGCCAACCGCAGACCAATGCTAATGTGTTCATATCATTTTTATGTTTCTTCTTCTTTTGGTTATTTATTTTTTTCTTATTGTGGGGGATTGGTATAGGAGAAAGTCATTTTCTATTTTACTTCCAATGGAATTTCAAGTGTTACTTGTTCTAGTTTTTTTCTCCTGTTATATATATTGTCATGACTCTTGTTTGCTAATGCTTATATATTCCAATGTGTGCGCCATTATTGTTTAATATCATGAAAATGTATCAATATTTCAAAAACGCATTACAAAAATAATATTATGTTATAAAACACCATTTCTTATTTTATACATATTTTGTTTTATTTGTAATTAAGATATTAAGCGTAACTCTTTTTCACTTGTTTTATATTTTTCTTTTAATTCAATTTGGTTGAAATCATATTTTAATTCACAATTTTACTTCAAGTCTTAAATTAAACATGATTTTTTTTGTATATTAACACACCTTTATTTTTTTTTAAATGTTTTGAAAACTAATTTTTATTCTTGAAATAATTAAAATCGTTTTGAATAAATTGATTTTTCTGAAAAAAAGTTGAACAAATTCAGATAAATTTTTATTTTAATTACGACCACGACTTTAGTAAAAATGATCAAAACTTATATCTCTAAACATGATTTATTATTCAATTTAGGTTATATATGTAAAAAGTTGTTTTTCAAAACATACAATATTTATATTTGTATTTTTTTCTTGTATCTTCATAACAGATTTTGTTTTGTATAGACATTTTTAATATTTTAAAAAAATCACAAATATATTCAAAATACTATTAAATGCATAATACAATATATTAAAATAAATATAACCCATCCCATGAGTGATTAAGGTACAAACAAATATTTTTAATATCATAAAATTTATTAAAAGGTGTAATTAATATATATAAATGATATCATTAAATCATAAAATAAATTACACGTTAATGCCTACTTTATACTATTTAATTATTCTGGTACCTCTATTTTTTAATCTTTTTCGGTGTTATTTTATTTTATTTTACTCTTTCATCTTTTTTATCTTAGTCTTTATTTTATTTTTTTCATTTTCTTTTATTGACTTCCAAACACGTCTCTTAGTTCCTTCTTTTTGTTTTATTTGGTTTCATGATTAATTATAGATAGATATTATTCTAAATCCAAAAATATATATAAAATTATTCGTGGAAAACATTATTACCTTATAAATGTTTTTTTTAAGATAAATTAATATATAAAAATAACTTCAAATTTTTGGGACTATTTATTTTTTAAAATAAAACATGTAAACCCACCATTAAAAAATAAAATAAACGTGACAGAGTAGAAAAAACAATTGAATTCATGTACTTCAATTTTAAGAAAAAATGCAACTTCATTGTGAAATGCAAATATATATATATATATATATATATATATATATATATATATATATATATATGCATGTAAGTGTAAATTAAAAAAAAAAGAAATTATTGAATCTATCTATTAATTTATCTAACTTAATGAATTAAAATAATGTATTTTAATAATTTAAAAATATAAAAATAATTAAAAGTAAGATAGATATTTACACGAAGAAACCACCGAACTTTGACATTAGTCAAGCCGAATCTTAAAATTTTCCTCGGTCACCAAAAAAATAACGACATTGAGTTTATACCCTTGTTTCATGTTTAGGGCACGGTGAGTCAACCGTATCTTAAGAGGGTATTTCTGGAAAATAAAAAAGAGAGTATACTAAGTGAAGGGGAGGAGTGCAAATAAAAACTGCTAAAGCCCAATCCAACTCAACACCAAGAGCCCTTCCACTTCTCCTTTTCCTTCCCGCCATGCAGACTTTTGCTATCATCCATATGTTTTGTTTTTGTTGTCCTCTTGTTTTTCTTCTTCCCCACTCCACTCTTACTACCTACTTCAGTTCAAATTCTATGAAATTGAGTTGAGGCACAACGTTACTCATCCATCCATAGCAGGAATGAAACGAGGAAGAGAAGAAAGCATGGAGGAATCCAGTTCTAGGGTTTCTCCCACTCTTCACCACTCCACAGCAGGCATCATCAAGCGACTTCGCCTCGAGAACTTCATGTGTCACTCCAAACTCGAGACTGAGTTCGGAAAACACGTCAATTTCATTACGGGCCAAAACGGAAGTCAGTGTTTCTTTCTTTTTAATATACACATACATGTTTTTTACTTTTTTTTTTCTCTGTATTCAGGATTTAGTGTTTGTGAAATTGTGTCATGTATGAAGGAAAAATATTTAGTGTTTGTTTCGTTCTGGCATTTACAGGTGGTAAGAGTGCAATCCTAACTGCACTGTGTGTTGCATTTGGCTGTCGGGCCAAAGGAACTCAGAGAGCATCCAGTATGAAGGATTTCATCAAAACTGGTGCCAGGTGAGTGTGCCATTTTCGATCTCTTTGTATGATGGGTCTTGGTTATCTCCATCCCTAGGTTTATTAGGATACCTTGTTTTCTTCGAACGTCTTTTGTTCATATTGCTGATACAATTGCTTAATGGAAATGGGCAATATAGTGTTTTTGCACAGTTCTTTGTTTATTCTATTGTCTCTTTGTAGTAATGCTGTCATCCAAGTTGAAATTCAAAATGAAGGAGAGGATGCTTTCAAGCCTGAAATATATGGTCATGTTATCATTGTAGAACGTAGGATATCTGAATCCACAAGTTCTACTACATTAAAAGATCACAAAGGTGTGTTTCCCTGTTTTTGTTGTTGTTTTCAGTACTAATCTTTTTGCTGGTATAATGTTTAGTTAACAGATTATTTTTCATGAGATATAGGGCCCATTTGTTTACACTCTTATTAATTTTAATTTCGAGATATATGGCCCGTGTGTGTACATTTTCCTGATTAAATAGAAGCAGAAATTCCTTATTTATAGAATTTTTTCTTAGAATCATGGCTGAAGTTCGTCTTTATTTGGTCTAGTTTCCTGATTTTTTAGTATAATTTAAGGAGTATAAAATGATCCTTCTTGATTGGTTATAATTACATGCGATTTATTTAGGAAGAGATGACTAAGTGAAACCCAAACCATCTGATTACGAGATAAATATAAGGATAAGACAGGGGGAAAATAAACAACAATAAAATAAAAAATCATATTTGAATAAATTAGGCTTGATCTTAACTGTCTAAATTTTAAGAATAAAGGAGAATAAATAAAATCAGGTCTAAATTGTTATTTTGATCTTAACTACCTACATCTTCTAGAATCCTTAATTGTATTTAAATTTAACATAAAGATACATACAATGATCATTCCCCTCTTGTTGATTCATTGATGGCCAACAGTCCCAACTTGCGTATAAAGAGTTTTTAATTAGGCCTAAAGAGTCCTTTTGTAAGAATTGTTGTCACTTGCCAAGTGGAAAGCAATGACATGCAAATTAGGCCTACATCCATCCTATCTTTGCATGAATTACTTGTCAATTTCTACATGCCATGTCCGATCATTTTGAACTGGGTTTTTGGAAAATCTAAATGTAGCCTTGTTATCTCACTACAACTTCATGGGAGAGTCATAGTAAGCTGTAACTCTTCTAATATTCTTGAGTAATACAATTGTCCACACTCTTTGTGTCATTGTCCTATATCCAGGCTTTGTGCTACTTCTAGCCACAATATTTATTTTTTGCTTCTCTAAGTGACCAAATTTCCCCAAAAATGTACTGTAGCCAAATGTTAACTTTTGTTCAGTAATGAGTGATAATTAACTGTGCCTTAAAAGGGATTAAATTTTCAGGTGGATAATTTCCAGTGAGACTATTTTTCTTTATAAATAAAATGTTGCAGTAATTAATCAACCCGTTGGATAAGACTTTTTTTTTTTTAATAAATGATTGTTAAGGATACTTTATTCACCATTATGTTCTATATCTGGGTTTGTTGACAGGAAGGAAAGTTGTCAGTCGAAAAGCAGATCTTCTAGAAATCGTTGAACATTTTAATGTAAGCACTTCTTTTTTAATGTTCTATCTTGTATTAGTGTGACATCTTTTGAACCAGTTCTTATGCTTTGCTTAAATGTAGCATGATGTAGGTCAAGATTAGTGATCTAATGACATGGCTAAAGTAGAGTATATAAGTGGGATAATCTTCTCAACTTACAATTCAGTTTTGTAGAGATGAGTTAGGCTTAAAATTACATTCCAAGAGTTTTGATTGAATTGATTGACCAAAAGCCTTTGTTGCATAAGTATGGTTAAATGGTAGATTTCCCATCATTGCATTCACCTAAATAACCAATAATAGCATGTTAGGAATTCTGTTTAAAAGCTCCCAAAATTATTTTTGAGTCAAAAGTAACACGACCACAACAGTCACTGAAAGATGCATTAAGTCTTCAGCAATGCCTTTTTGTTTCCTTTTTCAGTGATTTTTTTCCTTGCAACTTTTCTTAATGTCTTTTGCAGATTGATGTGGAGAATCCATGTGTAATTATGACTCAAGACAAAAGCAGGGAATTTTTGCATTCTGGGAATAACAAAGATAAATTTAAGGTTATCTCTTTAATGTTGGTGATTGTTTTGATAAACCTTACTTAGAAGCAGCACTGACATTTTATTAATCAGTTCTTTTACAAGGCCACACTTCTTCAGCAAGTCAATGATCTTCTGGAAAGCATTTCCAATGAAATTACTTATGCATATGATATAGTTAAGGATTTAGAGGCTGCAATAAAGCCCATTGAGAATGAGCTTAATGAGTTGCAAGTTAAAATTAGAAACATGGAACATGTTGAACAAATATCCATACAGGTTCAGCGGTTAAAAAAGAAACTTGCATGGTCATGGGTTTATGATGTGGACAAGCAACTAGAGGAACAAAATGTAAAGATTGAAAAGTTGAAGAACCGGATACCTACCTGCCAGGCTAAGATTGATCAACAACTGGTATGTTAGCCTATATGCTTATCTCTAAGTAGTTTTCATTTGTTAATGCTATATATGAACTTTTCTTTGTGGCTTGACTTGATAATATTACATTTGGTACTGTATTCTTAACATCTATGATGCACATATATGATACGATACGTATTTGATACGACGATTTGTCTTATATTAAAAACAATAAGATACGATATGTTTATGATATGTGTGTATATATATATATATATATATATATATATATATAATTTATAAAAAAATATTATATATAATTATTAAATATTATTTAAATGGAACATATTAAATATATTTTTAAATGTAAAATGAAAGTTAACAATAACTATTTATTGTTTAGAAATAGAAATAGTATCAATTTCATTTTCTCCTTAAGCATCATCGAGTAAATAAAATAGCCTCCATGTCTAGTTCATTAGGAGATAATGTTGTCACTCTAAGGTTTCCAACATCGTCAAAGTCATCCCATGCATCTCCACTAATGGCCCACATTTTAGAGTTCCCTTGGTTATATTTTTCACTTTGCGTAGCCAGAAGTTGTAAATTAGTATGCACATAAACCAAGTCTTTTGCTCTTTTAAGATTCAACTTATTTCTTTTCAATGAGTGAATGAAAGAATAAGTACACCAATTTTTTTCACAACAAGAAGACGAACAAGGTTGTACAAGAAGCTTCAATTCTAGCTTTTGAAGTAGAGGGGCATTGGAACCATGCATCACCCACCAAGATTTGGGATCCAATGTCCACCTGTCTTCTATTGAGTCAAAATAAGCAAAACTATTTGATTTTGATGAGAAGTTAGCATACTCAAGTGCAACATTTCTTCTATCCTCACTAGTTGTAAAAAGGTTTTTCAAACACTTATTCTTCTCCCTAGAAATCTCTTCATCCTCATGTGGTGGGATTCTATTTGGAGCCTCTTGAATCCGTTATTCGTTGTAATACCTATAATTAAATTATGACAAAAATTATATTATATAAACTTTCTAAATAGTTTTATATATAAGTTATAAAAAATGAGTATTGATAGGATTATTTTACCTAGGATTCAAAGAGTGAGCCATGCAATGAAGAGGAGTGCAACTTTTAGTCCATCTATCAATTAGTATACCATAAACAATTTCATAAAATGTTGATGTGTTATTTTCCCCTTTCTTTTCTTGTTTATAAATGACTGTCTTCACCTTTTCTATCATGGTATCCCATATCTCATAGACCAAATGAAGTGTGGGACTATCTGTATCACAAAGTCTTTTTACTGCTTGAGCCTTACCCACATCATCTTCTCTATAGGAATTCCATTCTTCAATAATAACCATGCATTGCAAAGAATGTTTCAAAAATTTTAAATCTTCTCATCATTATTATAAGAGATGCAAAACGTGTATCCGCATCAACAAGCAATTTCAAATTTGAGAAATGATTAAAAATGATCAATCTCATGGAGTGGTTCATGATAAAATTCCTAATGAAAGAAACATCATTAGCAAATTCAGTAATCCAACTGCATTCACTATAAACGACACCATTTCTTTCTGTATTTTTGGTTGCACTTATGTTCTTCAAAGCAAGATTCAATGTGTGGACAACACAAGGTGTCCAAAAAACTTAAGAAAATGAACCTTCAATAATCATTTCGGTACCTTTGCACACAAGAGCATTATCTGTTATAATTTGTACAACATTTTCTTCCCTTATTTCTTTAATAACTTCAACCATTCTATCAGCTATGTAATGCTTATTTTTTATTTCATCAGAAGCATGAACAACTTTTAAAAATATAGGAACCTCCTCACTAGTGGTCATAAAATTAATTAAAAGTCTTCTTTGAGAATCTATCAATCCATCAAAGACTATGCTAACCCCTTTTCTCTTCTAGGTTGATTTAATTGGTTTAGTAACCTCTCAACACGTGCTTTCTCACTAAGATTATGATTTGCGGCAACTAAATATGAATTTACATAATAAGGGTTTCTTGCAAGATTAAAAGACAACTCAAAAGAATAAAACATTCTAGCTATAAGAGCTTTGAGGGTGTCTCTATTTTCTAAGTTAAACATCTTCTCAAGAGGACCATTTTTTCTCCTTTTAAAGAAATTATTTTCATGTCTATTTTCAGTTGGTAAGGGAACATGCTTAGGTTTTAATATATTTTTAGCCAATTCAACAACTGATTTTAATTTAATCAAATATTCATCATTGACTTTTGAGTACACACCAATTTCTTTTCCATAAATCTTCAATAAGTGGGCTTTTATTCTAAAGTATGAACTTGTAAAAGATTTTTGACAAAAATTAAAAGACCATGTCCTATTTTCACCCACTTCTGATCCTTTTTCCATTAAAGTAACATAGGCCCATAGAAAAACATGATCATCTTGTTCATGATCTTTTGAAAAGAACTTACTTGGAATTTTTGAATTGGAATTAGAAGAATTTGTTCTTGGTGCTGACATTTTGAATAAAATTCACTATAACAAAAATGAAAAATAAAAATCAAAGTAAGAGAAAACATTAATAACAAATAACAAAATAATAAATTAAAATAAATTAAAATAAATAATAATAATAATTTATTTTTTAATTTAATAACACTTTCTAATAATTTAACTAATTAAAAATTAAAGTAAAATTTAATATATATAATAAAAATAAGATATATTTAAATCTTTGAGTTGAATTAAATTTATAAAAAATAAATAACATAAAGTAAAAAAAATAATTTTTATGTTAGTATAATGTAAAAAAAATTAAGTAATTATAAATAATATTATTCATAATTAAAATTAATATTTATCTAATTATGATTTTTTTATTTTAATTAAATAGTTAATTTAAAAATTAATAAATTATTTAATTTATAAATTTTACATAAAATTAAATTATGTATATTGTAATCATTTATAATATTTATTTAATAAAAATATAAGTTTATTAAAAAACCAAAGGAAAGCAATTTCACCTTGCAACATGTAATCTCACGCTGGAACTTTTGCACACACCAAAAACAGAGGAAAGTAATCTCACGCTGGAAACTGCTGCACACACCAAAAAAATGAGGAAACAAACGGAGAGCCTCAGATCAGTGACGAAGAGCCTGATAAGAGAGGAAACAAATCAGTGAGACAGAACCTCTTCCACACACGAACAGAGAAGAAACAAACCAGTGATAGAGGGAGCGAGAGAAAACCAAATCGCTAAAAGAGATCGAAAGAGGAGAAACAAGCGGTGGTGCAGCAACAACATGAAACTATTAGCTCTTAGAAAAATAAAATGCCGAAAAAGAGATACACTCTAAATAATACGAATCTGTTTTGATTAATTTAATGCAAACAATAACATAAAAATATTTGTTATTCTATTTTTATTTTTGTTTGGATTTTTTTTTCCGATTCTTTTTTTATACGAATTTTTGTAGTATCAGGATGAATTGGTATTGGTTACATCCGTGATACGGATTCGTTGGTCTCACCAATGATGCATGCCGCAGAGCTTAACATCAAGCAAAGATTGTTTACAGTAGAAAATGAAACTAGGATTAGGAATTTCATCGGCTGTTTGTTTACAATTCTCATTTTTGGCATGAACTGCTAGTGCCTCTACATTTAAATCTGGATGGGTTCATGTTGGAAAATTATTTAGTGCATTTCACAGGGGATACAATTTACCATATATTTTGGTCTTGCCAAATATGTGATTAATCATAGTATGGTAATTTGTTTGGTTTCCATTTTTAGCGATACAAGTGTTTGTTAGGACCTTAAATGGGAATTGCTCAGACTGCACACCAGCCAGCATAAGCCCATGTTATGGAGAGAGAGGGTATGAGTAGAGAACCATTTTCAGTCAGGGGAAGAGAAATTTCTATTCCCTGAAAGAATTTAGCCCTGTGGGCAGTGGGGATATTCATCCCTGTGCATTTCCCTTCTATACCTTAGATAATACATTGCTTGTTTCCCATAATTGATCCATTTTTCCTGTTTTTTTATGTTCTTGTTTGCGTCATTGTTGTAATGAAGCATTTCCAAAACAATAAATGCCATGAATTTATAGTAGGTTTATCTTATGTCAGAATCAAAATACATTGGGTTAACAACATTGCTCTCTCTCGAAAAGATATTGAGGTGGTGAGGTAAGCTTGTGAACAAAGAACATTGTAGAAAAGCCATTGCTTGGATCAATTACAAGCTTGACACCATAATATAATTCACAGAAAAATGAGAGTTAGCGAACAGAACTGATATAAAGTGAACTGTAAAACTATCATTAGTTCAAAGTATAGAGAGTGAAACTTATATATCTAACCAATATGATCATTACTAAGTTGGCAACTAACTGAATACCTAACTCTAATAGATGAAATATAAAGGAAATTACAATGAAATGAAAATTTAATGTAAACTTATATGGCTATATTAACATAAATTAAATATCTCTAATGCAAGAGAGTATGGGATATTTTTCATATATTATAACTTAACATGTTATTTGCAAGGGCTTGCACCATGAATATGATATAATTTATCATCCAGAACTTTTACTGCTACCTTCACTGTTTCTTTTTCTGTGCATATTTATGTCTAATAGTTTTAAGTTGGACTCTAATTTCTTTTGTAGCATTTGGTTGAAAAGTTGAAGGAAAGCTGCTCCAAGAAGAGAGATGAAATTGCAAGAATGTTGGAGAAGACATCACAAGTTAAGCAAATGAAGGAAAATTTAAACCAATCCGTGTCCATGGTATGTTAGAAGTGGGTGGTCTTATTTGTCATTTTCTTTTGTCAAATTCTTTGAACAATATGTCGATGAAAGTTTCATACTGCAATAATCTTTATTCAGTTATATGCTTGTCATTTTACCTGAACTAGGTGATCTGAAAGTTTCATACTGCAATATGCATGTCATTTTACTTGAACTTGGTGATCTCGAAGACTTCCCTTTTTTAGAATGTGTCAGGTTCTTTTTTTTTTCTGACATAGTGATAAGAGTTCCTTCCTGCCAGGAAATATTAACACCCAAACAAGGAAAAGAAATACTGAATATGCTTCTTTATTGCTGAAAGAAAGACTAGAATCCCCCTGGAACTAAGGTATTTGAGTATACCCCCAAAATACCTTTCTCCTGTTTACACAGAATTACAGTAAACCAAATATCGGAACCAACTAACAACCTGTTATAACTTTGACTCTTTCCTTTTACTATAATAAACCTGCATACACATTCCTCCTATAGATTTATTCTTGGACTCTGTCCTAACAGTATGACTATTTTATGCACCAATCACCTTCATGCATGATTTTTATTATTCATTCTTCATATTCTGTCAGTTGCAAATTCATCTTTCTCCATGAAGGCAAAAAAGTATGCAATTGAACTCAAGGGAGACTGTAGATGATTATCTTCTATTTCAAAAATTATCTTGCTTTTGATTTTTATTACTCATACTTCATATTCTGTCTATTGCATATGCATTTTCCTCCATGAAGGCAAAGAAAGAGGCATTTGAACTTGAGCGAGACTGCAAATGCAAAACTAGCAACATACAGAAGATGGTACAGCAACTTAAAATGCTTGAACAACAAGTACGGGATATTCGTGAGCAGCATGAAAAAAATACTCAGGTTCTCCATGTCCCTGGCCATGGATATTTTCAGTTTATTGTTCTTGTTCCTTATTCTGTATCTCTGCTCATGCTTAGTTTTTTCTTCTTTGGGGTGTTTTTGCTTAGTTTTTCAATTTAATTTTGGGGAAGTTTCAGGTCTTTCATATTTTTAGTGAAACACTTCCCTTTGTTCATTGGTTCCTTGAATTCCTTTGAAAGCTTTTTAATTAAATTTGGATGTTAGAAAGTTGTCCTTGTTGTGGTCCATGGTCAGTTTTATCCTGCTTTACGTGCTGCCTCTTATGATGCCTTCATTGGATCCTCAACTTAGTGCTTTATAAGCCAGTTTTGGAGGTTGAGTTAAACTCTAGGTCCAAATTATAAGATAATATTAGCGTATATCTATTATCTATTGTTGGATCACCTGCATAGTCATGCTCTTGTCCCATTGCCCTTAGGTGTGAGAGAGTGTGCTGGAAAGTTGCTTTAGTTGTGGTCACCCTTAGCCTGCCTTAATTGTGGCTTCCTAGGTCATTCTTGGTTGCAGCCTTAGGGGGGTTCGATTTGAGGAAAAACTGTGCTGTGTTTTTTGGTTAGTACTTTGTAGAAGGAATTGTTATGTATGGCTTGTAGTATATTCAATTATTTATATGTCTTATTCCACTTAAACTACCCATTTGTTAGTTGTTACTGTTTTCACTTGCTTCTTTCTCTTCAGTTCCATTATCTATAATGTTTATCACTTTTCCTTTTGGTTGTACCCTAGTTTATACTTTTGATCTGCTTCATCAATTTGAAATGACTCATGAATGCCATTTTTTTTCCATAAATAAGCTTCAATACCTATTTTTTTTCATAATAATGCAGGCTGAAGAATGTAATGCGGAGGAAAAACTGAAGGTGCTCAAAGATGAGGTTCATGCAGCTGAGCTAAAGCTGAAGAGGTTATGATTTTAATTGTGTGGTTTATCATATTTGTGTTTTACTTGGGATTTGACGTTCCAGTTCCTAATAATCCTGTCATTTCAGATTGAAAGAAGAAGATGCTTCATTAATGGAAAGCATACGTAGGCAAAATGATGAAATCCGAAAGATAGCTGATAAGGTGTGCTGTTTACTAATGCTTTAAAATTTTGTTATAATCCTTATTCTCTCTTTGGTTGCTTGTAACCACATTTTCTTTTATAGTTTTAATTTTCTAATTTCAATTAAATATCTGAATTTTTTACATGCTCTTTACATTTTTTTGTGTGCCTCTTCTCTAAAATTCTCACCTGTTTGGGAATGGTTCTTTTTTAGGAGAAGGGAGGGGATATATCTTTTTCAAGTCTTTCTTAGGAAGCCGATAAAAATTTTATTGTTTCCTTAAAATAAGATAAACCAGGCATGCAAGAAATCTGGATTATCAATTTGTCTGAAAACTGTTACTTTCTCAGTGTGCTAGTCAGTGGGAGGGAATCTGTGGAATTCTAATTATTGGAAATATTATTAGCAAATGCACTTAGGAGATAGTATGTCATGTTCAAAATGTGTTTAGTGTTTACGAGAATTAGTATTTAGGAGTTGGACTCATTTAATATAGCCTTGGAAATTGTCTCCACTAAGTCTATAAAGAGTGTATATATGGATGGATGCTATGCATGACATATGTACTCATAGTCTCTTGAATAAGGGAGCTGATTCATTGTGTAAATTCTGTCAGATATTCTATTCTATTTATCTTTTTCTCCCACTTTAAATTTTAACACTTGTATAGAAGAACACCCTTACTTCCTTGTGTTCTGACTTAATATATTAGTTCTGGAAAATTAGATTAAATGAAATCTTATTTTATTATTTTAATACAAAGAGATCATACAAGATATATACAGGAGACCTAAGCTATTTTAGGAAATATAATAACTCTATTTTATTCTAAGATCCCTTGATTTATGGGATTGTTCCTAATTGTTCAAATCTGTATAGATTACAAATTTTCTAATTTATTCTTTCCTAAAATACTATTTGATTTCTCACACTCCTCCTCAAGCTGGTGAATAGGTGTTTTCCATTCCCAGCTTGGATATAATCTTCTCAAAATTGTGGCAGCCCAGTCCCTTAGTAAGAATGTCTGTAATTTGGTCTTGAGATGACACATATGGAGTGCATATCAAACCACTATCAAACTTTTCTTTGATGAAGTGTCTGGCTACTTCAATATGCTTTGTTCTATCATGCTGCACTGGGTTGTGGGCTATGCTGATTGCTGACATATTATCACAATAGAGCTTCATAAGTTTTTCCCATTTTATCCTCAAGTCTTCTAAGATGATTTTAAGCCATAGCAACCCACATATACCTTGTGCCATGGCTTGGAATTCTGCTTTAGCACTGGACCGAGCCACTACACCTTGCTTTTTGCTTCTCCAAGTCACAAGATTTCCTCCAAGAAAGGTGCAATATCCTGTAGTTGACCTCCTATTCACAATTGACCCTGCATAATCAGCATCAGTATAGGCTTCAAGCTTCCCATTACCATTCCTTTTGAATAGAATCCCTCTTCCTGGAGTTCCTTTAAGGTACTGTAAAATTCTGTGGGCTGCTTGTAAATGGGTCTCCTTTGGGTTATGCATAAATTGGCTAATTAAACTCACTGCATAGGCAATATCTGGCCTGGTATGCGACAAATATACAAGTCTGCCCATTAATCACTGGTACATATCTTTTTCAACAACAACATCTTCTTCTGCATTTCCAAATTTTAGGTTTGGTTCTAATGGGGTACTAGCAGGTTTGCAAGTTGTCTTGCCAGTTTCCTTGAGCAAATCAGTGATGTATTTCTACTGGGATATAAATATCCCTTTCCTGGAGTGGACAACTTTAATTCCCAAAAAATATTTTAGTTTTTCCAAGGTCTTGATCTCAAATTCCTTGCCTAAGCATTGACTCAATAATTGCTGCTCTTCTTTATTATCTCCAGTTAATATTATGTCATCCACATACACCAATAATATTGTTACTCCCCCTGACTTGGAATGTTTAAAGAACAAAGTATGGTCCCCTTGGCTTTGTTTGTAACCCAGACCTATCATAACTTTAGTAAACCTGCCAAACCATGCACGGGGGGACTGTTTTAGCCCATATAATGCCTTTTTTAACTTGCAAACAATGTTGGCAACATCTTTACCTTATCCCGGAGGTATCTCCATATAAATTTCTTCTTCAAGGTCTCCTTGTAGGAAAACATTTTTAACATCAAATTGTTCCAAGTTCCAACCATAACTGGCAGCAAGGGACAATAACACACTAACTGTGTTCATTTTGGCAACTGGAGCAAAGATCTCCAAATAATCAACTCCATAAGTTTGGGTGAACCCTTTGGCAACTAGTCTTGTCCTATATCTTTCAATTGATACATTAGCCTTGTATTTCACTATATAGACCCACTTACATCCAACTGGCCTCTTTCCTATTGGTAAGGTGACTAAATCCCAGGTGTTGTTCTTCTCCAATGCCTCCATCTCTACATCCATGGCTTGTCTCCATTTTCTGTCAGACAATGCCTCAGATAGGGTATTAGGTAGAAGTGTAGTGTTTAGGTTTACTAGGAAAGTTTTATGGGTAGGAGAGAAATTTTTAAAGGACATGCAATTTGAGAGAGGGTAGAGTGGTTGTTTGGTGCATTTTCTTGTCCCTTTTCTAATGGCAATTGGGAGGTCAGGTTGTTACCTCTTTTTGTGGAGTCGAGTTGGATTCTTAAACATGGCTTGATCCTGGAATGACCTTAGTCTTCCTTGAGTACACCAGTTTCTTACCAAATTTTCTAGCTTCAACATCTCCTTTATTAGCTTCACAATTAATTTCACTTTCTTGACTAGCTTCTTTTTCTTGACCAATTCCTTGACTTGTTTCACTTGTTACAACTTCAATTTGATCTCGTTTAGGTTCAAATATCAAGTCTAGAAGAATGGTACTTTCAATTTGATATCATTTAGGTTCAAATATCAAGTCTAGAAGAATGGGAAAACCAGAATTACTACTTTCCTTATCTTCCCTGAAACTCTCCCCCTGAAGATAAGGTTGATGGAAATGGCCTTCTTGTTCATTGAAGGTAACATCCCTAGACAAAAAAATTTTTGGATGGGGGGTGATAGGATTTAAACCCTTTCTGAGTGGGTGAGTAACCAACAAAGACACACTTTAAGGCTCTAGGATCAAGTTTTCCCCTGTCTATACTATGAATATGGACATATGAGATTCACCCAAAAACTCTTGGTTTAAGATTATTTGTAGTGGACATGTTTGGATAGAAAGACGACAAAGCTTCCATAGGGCTTTTTGATCCTAAGATTCTAGAGGGTAGTCTATTGATACGGTATGTTGCTGTAAGGACAACTTCTCCCCAGAAATTTTTTGGGACACTTTTTTGGAACAACTATGCCCGAATCTGATTTAATAGATGTCCATTGGAAATTGCTAATTCTATTACTTATTGGAAAAGATACACGCTTGTGCTTAGCAAGTTCACACACCTCACAATGAAGACTCTTAGCATCTAACTTGGTAAACAGAGAGGGAAACATAATTTTGATAACTCCAAAAGAGGGATGTCCCAATCGACAATGATAAAGCATGATTTTTTCTCTGTTCATCATCAAGGATTCAGATATGAAGGAGTGAGAGATTCTGTTTTTGCTGGACAGACTTGGATCTTCGAGATAATAAAGGTCATTCCATTCTCTAACATGTCCAATCATCCTTCCCGAATCCTTGTCTTGAAATACACAATGATCGTTGGAAAAAACAACTTTACATGACAAATCCTTTATAAGTTTTTGTATAGAGACTAGGTAGGTGGACAACTTTGGGACATGGAGAACATCTTTTAAGGTTATTAAAGGATTGATTTGGATATTTCCTTGACCAGCTACAGTTATAAGGGTTCCATCTGCTGTGCCAATTTTCTTATTGCTGGGACATGGGGAATATGTGAAGAAGTGTTTGGCTAATGGTGTCATGTGGTTTGTGGCTCCAGAGTCCAATATCCAATAATGGTTAAAAGGTGTATCTGAGACATTTAATCCAAAAGAAAGTGGAAACTTACCTGAGTATGCCAAAGAACACACACCTATAGGTTTTTCCAGCTTACTAAGAAAGGTTCTCACCCTTTCTATCTCCTCTTGGTTAAGATGGGCAACAACTTCTGGATTATTTTCTTCATTTGTTTCAGCCTTTCCTTAAGGAGCCTCCTCTGTGTCCCCCTTCTTGATCTCGATTTAAAGGCTTCCCATGTAACTTCCAGCACTTCTCTCGGTTATGACGAGGCTTATTGTAGTAGGTACACCAGAGACTATCACCTTTCTTCTCCATATTTGCTATCCTCCTTTCTTTTGTTTGACTACCCCCTTTCTATTCAACACTGTACGAAAAAGTTGGGCCCACTTCAAATAATTTCTTCCATTTAGTCTATATGCAGAATGGATATTCTGCAGTTCTCCATATTGCTGGGATTGGGTATTCCCTGTTTCTGGGGTTGGATTCACAACTTCCTCTTCCCTTGACATTATAGCAATAAGGTGCGATGCAACAGCAATGCAGACTACCATCTTAGGGTTAAGAAAAATGCAGCAACAATGCAGGCTGCCGTCTTAGGGTTAAAAAAAATGCAGCAGCAATACAGGCTGCTGTCTTAGGGTTTATAGTGCGCAGACAGAACTTCCTAGATCGGAAGCTCTGATACCATCTGGAAAATTAGATTAAATGAAATCTTATTTTATTATTTTAATACAAAGAGATCATACAAGTTATATACAGGAGACCTAAGCTATTTTAGGAAATATAATAACTCTATTTTATTCTAAGATCCCTTGATTTATAGGATTCTTCCTAGTTGTTTAAATCTTTACAAATTACAAATTTTTTAATTTATTCTTTCCTAAAATACTATTTGATTTCCCACATTAGTGAACAACATGAGTATGCTTTATAAGGGGAAAATTGTACCATCTGTTTCCTTAGTAAGCTATAATTTTAGATTCATGATTTCTAAACATTGTCATGATACATAACAATAATAAGTATTTCACAAACTTCAGATTTACTTTACGACACAAGAAATGTCCATGTATGACACAAGAAATATCATCAGCTAATTCACAAACCAATTGGTCCCAGGTAGAGAGTCAATAACAGGCTCCCAACATGAAATCAAACAAGGTCTTGTTACAAGGAGCAATATTCCATGTTCGTGTTTTGAAAACTGAAAGAATATCACAATGAAAAAGACTCAGCTGACTATTTATAAAAAGTATAAGGAAATAAAAACTTTGGCATACTAAAGGGTCGAGTCAGCTGTTAAGTTATACAGCCCAGCCATTAATTCTAATATCCCCGTACTTGGAACAATTGTTGAGTTTTAATAGATTCGGAGATTCTTCTCTCTGTTTGATGATATCATCTCTCTCTCTACCTTCTCTTATCCTTTTCTTTCATTGTTATGCTTCCTAATTCTTGTCATTCCCTATTAGTGATTCTTTTTTATATAGAATTAAAAAATGGTCTGATCAGAGAAGTTGTGCTTTTTCCTGAATTTAAGAAGCTCTGTCTGGATTCCAAACCTGGGTAATTTTCAATATGTCTTACAGAGGTATCTAGAGTTGTTAGGACTGTAATTACAAAAAAGCAGATCTATATAATTTGAGCAATTGCTAATACATATACTTTAGAATTCATTGGTGGTCTACTGTGTGAAATTGAAGAAATTCACCTCTGCAACATAAGCAACATTGTGGCTTATATGTATTCCACATTCAAATTTTTATTTTTCACTAATTCAATTTTTATTTTTTTACTGATTACCTGATGATGCTAAAGATCTTCAGATGCGGAGTTTTTTTTTTATAATATATTTTTGAAGCTCGTATATGTTCTTTGAATTTTGTTTAATACCTCATTAACTACATTACTATACTTCATCTACTTTTCATAGATTCATGATCATGAAAAAAATCGCCATGCTATCATGTGTCGAATTCGTGATCTTCAACAACATGAAAGCAATAAGGTATAACAAATCTTGCACGTCTTTATGAAGCTTACAATGCTGTTTTTTGTTCATTTCCATCAGATCTAGTAGTGAAAAGAAATTTTCACAAAATTCCTTTCTTCTGTGTTGCTAAGAACAGTATTTTGACAATCTTTTTTGGAAGCAGATTACTGTTTTTGGAGGATCGAAAGTAATCCATTTGTTACAAATAATTGAGAGATACCACCAAAAGTTTAAGATGCCTCCAATTGGTCCAATTGGTGCCCATCTGGTAATATAATTTGTAATCCCTTTTGTCATATATTACACATTGTTTTCTCTTAAGGATATTCTGTTGGTTTGAATGAAATGAAGTGTCTTTCTTTGGTTAGCTGTTACCTTCTCAGTGGAAGAAATAAATGAGCTGATCTAATAAAATTATATAATTTAAATCTCATTTGTCAGTATTTTTCTCCAGTGTCTCATAGATGATTTATTTGCTTCATTTTGGGTTTATGCACTTGGCTTTTTCTACGGAGGGTTATAGGTATCAGGTTTTGTATTTTTCTCTTTTCCTTGGTTTTTCTGCAGTTAGGACTTTGGGGACTCGTGCTTTGTGATTCTCTTTTCTTTCCTTCTAAATTCTTATATATTCCACTTCCCTGGCTGAATGACTATTCCATGTTCAACACTATCTATCCCAATTTTTCTCATTGATGTAATGCAACTTTCAAGTTTATTTCCTGCTCACTTAACTGCCATACTAATTGTTATTCAAGTTGCTTGATGTTGATAAATGGGTGTTGCATGTTAATTGCTTATTCAAATTATTATTTTGGATTGTTTTATGGTTTAACAGAAGCTTCTTCATGGTAATAAATGGGCTCTTGCCCTTGAATATGCTATTGGAAGATTGCTGAATTCTTTTATAGTGACAAATCATGCGGATTTTCGTCTTCTGAAACAATGTGCCAAGGAAGCAAACTATGGTCACCTTCAAATTATTATTTATGATTTTTCAATACCAAGGTAAGTTGTTAGCTCCATGACTGTTTTCCTGGCCCTATGTGTGATTGTTTTTCATATTTTTGGTTATGTCTAGTTGTGATCATGTTCTTTTACTTCTGGTATAGATTGGCTATACCACAGCATATGCTTCCTGATACAGAACATCCATCAATTATTTCTGTCTTACAATGCGAGAACCATACTGTGATTAATGTCTTAGTGGATCAGGTAACTCATAATCTTTGCTTCCTGAAAATAATGTCTTATTTCAATGGTATTTTTTTATTGCGTTTTTAAAGGAAATCCAAACTCATTTGAGAGTATATTTGCTTTATTTTGTTCTTTCCCATTTTTTTGGGACTGGGAGGATATCTTATCCTCCTTTTAAATTTTCTGTCATATACTCTTTTATCTGAAGTTATATTTTTTTGAGCTCTTCGTCAATCATGTCCAACACTAATTAATCTAGCATATTAATTCCTCAGTTAGCACCCATTTGTTCTTTGATTATTCTACAACAGTTTTTTTTTTTTTGTAGAATTCTTTCTTTTGCAATTCACAAATTTTTAAAAGAGATTTCTCTGGATAAGCAGTTGCATCATGATAGTTTTATGCTCTTGGATTTTATTTGGTGTAAAGGACAGGTTTTTATTGTTTTTTTTAAAGAAATGTTACCATTTTGATACCATGTCGAAAGTGTGAAAAATAAATGCAAATGATGCTGAAAACCGTGTATGGACCACACAACCGAGTCCATTTTGTATAAGTTAATCGCAATAAATAGAAATATTTATAGGAGATTTTATTCCTATATAGATGATAAATATGCCTATAAATCATATTCAATTGAATATGATTCTAATAAGATATTTGTGAAATAGTAAAGATCCTAATTAAATATGGAAACTAATTATAAAATATAAAAGAAGAATAAATCTTACGAGATTATATATTGTAAAATATTCAAGTTAATATCATTAAATACCTCATATTTTTAACAATAGTTATTAGTTACTAAAGAATTTTGAGAATCAGAGAAAATGAGTCAAACAATAGAAACTGTAAAATTAAACTTTTTATTCTTTAGACCAAGAGATCAGTGTCTGTGGTACAAAGAAGTTGTAACAGAAAGAGACAGGTTAGTCAGAGTAAGTAACTCTGCTGAGTTGGTAAGCTACTTGAGGAACAAATACATGTAGTGAGATGAGACGAGAAGAGCTGACAACCCTGAATAAAATAAACTGAGCCTTGGGGCTTTGTAAGGATGTCAGCCACCTGTTAGGATGAATGTAGGAAACAAGAGATTTGGGTAGGGACTTGAGTATTATCGGGTGCCTAAGTCCCATGTCGAGTAGTATGAGATGCTTGATGGAGTATTTAAGTGCCTAGTAAGTAGTCCTTTCCCGGATATTGACAACTTTAATACCAATTAATAAGCACTCAGCACTTGGGGGACCCACCCTCAAAATCTAGCTATTAAGGGGAAGAATCAACACTCTATAATTCCCAATCCATATCATTTTTATTATTATTTACCCTCAAAATCTAGCTATTATGGGGAAGAATTAAATCTTAAATACTCCACCAAACATCTCATAGTATTTGATGTGAGACTTGGGCACTCTATAATACCCAAATCATTATTTTTTACCCTCAAAACCTAGTTATTAAGAGGAAGAATCAACACCTAAATACTCCACCAAACACCTCATTGTAGTTGATGTGAGATGGGCACTCTATAATACCCAAGAATAATGTCTTTAATACAATGAAAATTTTATCACCTGGTATGAAGAGGAAAGAACTTAAACGAGGATGAAATGGAGACCTGCTTTTTGCAATATGAGAACTGAAAGTTAATGGCTGAGAGCAATAACTGCACTGCCACTGAGAGAACCAGCTTCTCTCTTCACCCTGAAACACCTTGAACCCTCTCGATTATTTTTTCTATGCCCCTTCCTTAATATGTTTAACTTTAAAAATTTCTATTATGTTTATTGCTTCTCTAGGGACATGTTGAGAGACAAGTGTTAGTCAAGGATTACGAAGTCGGGAAAGTGGTTGCCTTTGAGCGAAAGATCCAAAATTTGAAGGAGGTCTATGCAGCAAATGGATGTAGAATGTAAGCCACTATTAATTGACATTGCAATTCATGCGTCTATATCCACATCTTCTTGTGTAAATAGATACTTTGTTATTTACTTGGAATTCATATTTGTACAACAAATCTGAGTGAAATACACGGTTGAAGTAAAGTTCTACATTTAGAGACAACAAATTGCTTTTGTACCAAGTAGGACAGTGCTTGGGTTTCATTATCTATTGGTTGAGTTTTGTGTTGAACTCTTACAAAGTGGTTTAGGCTTAACTTAACCCTTGAAAAACTGTCTTATAAGGTTTGAGTTACTTCGACTAATATACTTTATTTAGACACTATCTCAAGTCAATGTAGGACTGAGGTTTTTCCTAAACACTCTCTCATGTCCATCACTATTCTTGGTACATGTATAACGTGGTGAGTGGCCCTTAATGGATCTTGGATAGACTCTCATACCATTTTATACAGTGGTTTAGGCCTAACTTAATCTTACAAAACCGACTTGTGAGGTGAGAGTTTTTCTCATTTGTATTTTGACACTATATCTAGTTAATGTTGAGTTGGGTTTTTCCTGATATGAATGGTTTAATCTTTGAAAGGAGAGTTCTTGCATCTTCCCTGCCATGGTCCTCTCTTGCGTGTCTGGAGTTCCTTTTCCAATCTTTATTACCTCCAGTCCTTTATACGAAAATCTTGCAAATTGTGTGATCTTTCAGTGTTCCTATATATTGTCTTAGATCCTCAATGATAAAATTGTCTTGGTGTTCAGTCTCTGTCACTGCCATGCTCCTAGCCACTAATAACGTGTTATACAATACTTGACTGTGATATGTTCCGTTTTATTTCAACCAAATGCATCAGTATGTATCCAAGTTCCAACCCCTGTTGTCAACTTGGTACAGAAGTTTTAGTATGGAGTAATATGGTTCAAAGCTTCATACTGGTGGAAATTTTGTGTATGCACGTATCTTCTAGCCATGGCCCACAAGTTAGGTAGTGTGTTTCCTAATATAAGTTCGTTTTAGGTTTTCTCGAGGTCCAGTGCAGACTGTTCTTCAACCAAATAAGAGGCAAAGAACTGGTCGTCTTTGTGGTTCTTTTGAAGATGAGATTGAAAAACTTAAAGTTGAAGCATCTGATGAACAAAAGGTTGCTGATGACTGTAAAAAGAATAAAAGAGTGGCAGAAGTCAAGCTTGAGGAGCTTGACAAAAATATAAGTTCTATAAAGGTAAATTTTTTGCTTAAATTTTTGTATCATTAGATTATATATATAATTTTTTTTCAAAAACCTTTTTTTTTTTTTTTTGCAATATCTTATTTCTTGAAAAAAGAATCAATAACTTTATGTATTACCACAAGATAAAATTCTGTTTCATGCTTGAAGAAAAGATTAATTAACTTTTATTACTGCCTTTTAATATATCCCACATCGATGTGTGTTTCATTTGTTACGTCTTTTGTTTTGTTGTCTTTCTTTGTAGAGACAATGTGTAAATGCAGGTAAAAGTTATACTTCTAAGAAGCTAGCTTTGGAGGAAGAAATGCATTTGCACACTGCTGAAAATAGTGCAACACCATTGTCCTCTGTTGATGAGTTCGTCGAAGAAATTTCAGTTTGTTCTCCATCATCCATTCCATTCTTCAACTAGACATTCTACTTGTTCTAAGCAGTAGTGTTAATAGTAATGTGAAGGCACAAACATGCAGCAAAAATTACTGTATCTTTTTTCTTCTTTTCATACTTCTTTTGAGGGCGTGGGGGATGAGGGATGCAACTTTAAGGAGGTTGTGTCCTTTGCCGTACACCTCTGCTAATAGTAGGTAACTAGAAGAACAGAAGGCCAGAGATAGTTGAAACCCCAAGACAACATGATATCAGCGGATTTGTTAATATAAGCAAATGATCAAATTTTTTTATATTAGAAAGAAACTTCTAAGTGAATTATCAGGTGTGAAAAAAATAAGTTCTTATTCAGTAGAGTTTAATAAAGCCTCTGAGGGCTAACAACCGAATCAAGCTGATTAGAGGCATGATAGGGTCTAGTCTGTTGGTTATCTGAATTAAGGGGGAGTTTTGTAGATAATTGAGTTAGTTCAGTCAGTGGTTATGTTAATTACGTAATTAGTGAACTGTTTATTAACTTCTCGTAATATGTACTATAAAATTTATAAATAGGGATGGTATATATGTGATACACAGACGAAATAATTAGTTGCACAAAACTGGAATTCTAGAGTTGTCTGAAACATGAATCTTACTTCCCTGAGGTTTTTCTTATACCTTGGATCCAAAACTTTTAAGACCTGCTACTGGTCCCTAATACATAATGTGAATGTGATATTTTGTTTCTCAGTTTAAATGATGTTTTATTCTTATTGAACACCAGGAGATCCAGAAAAAAATAGGAGAAGAACAAGTCTTACTGGATGGCCTTCAGCAAAAAGGGCTTGAAGCAGCAGGAAGAGCAGATGATCTTAAAGTGAAATTTGACAAACTGTGTGGTATGATATACTACGTGTTATTTGTTTTATGTCAGTGAGATCATATGCAGTTCTGTTTATTTAGTTGTAGAAATGTTATGTGATGTATATTATATTGTGTGCCATAAAATGTAGAATCAGCGAATGGTGAAATTGCTGCCCTGGAGAAAGCTGAGAGTGAACTTGTAGAAATTGAAAAAGAAATGGGTTCAGCAAAAAAGGTATTTTTTTCTGTGAATACCTGAAAATATCTTCTATTCTTTTATTTTTTTAATTGCCTTGGCTTTTTTTCTTGAAAATAATTTACAGGCAAAGGATCATTATGAGGGTGTCATGAAAAACAAGGTCCTAATTGATATTAAGGAGGCAGAGGAACACTATCAGGAGCTTACAAAGAAACGCAAGGTGCATTTTGGTTAAGATTAGCGATGTAAATATTTATGATTGAACTATCATTTTATGCTTATCACTTTTAATATTAAATGCGATTGAAGTACATTGTCAAAAACTGGACCATAATTGTAGCTTTTTAAAACTAAAATGTTTCAATCTAAAAAGAAATAAAGTACTGCTTTCCCACTATATAAATTTGAAATAGAAATTGACTAATGGTTAGGCAGTAGTAGAAATAAAGAGGTGTCTATGTCAATCTCACAAAATCGGTTTGAAAGGTGAGGTTTATACCTCAATTATATTTTATAAGTTAGTTATATCTCAGTCAATATTAGATCTCCAACACATCTCCTCACACTGAGGAATGAATCTCTTGAAAGCATGAAACTAAACATTAAAGTGTATTACGACAGTGGCCCGGTTGGGGGTGGAGTAATAGGACAACAAACCTCACTAAGATAAACTCTAATATTATATAAGAAATAGAGAGATATCTAACTCAATCCTACAAGATTCGTTAGTATTAAAAATGGAGATGTGTCTAACTCAATCTTATAAAACCGACTTATAATGTGAGATTTATACCTTAATTATATATTATAAGTTGACCATATTTCAAATTAATGTGCGATTTATAACACATTCCCTCACACTGAGGAATGAACATCTTGAGAGTGTGGAACTAAATATTAAAGGGTGATCCAACAATGGTCCGATTCCGAGTGGAGTGATAGGACACAAATTTTGCTAATATAGACTTTGATACTATATTATAAATAGAAAAATTCCTAACTCAATCCTAGAAACTGGTTTATACGGTGAGGTTTGTACCTCAATTAGATGTGGGATCTCCAACAGCTAGGAATGCATTCGGCTTAATTTATTTTCTTCCTATTTGGATGGCATCTTATCTGAGAAAGATTTGGACATCAGAAAACCTGAAGATCCACTGGTCTGTGTTCACTTTGTATTGCATGTGTCATGGAAACTGTTGCCGTCTAGCTAACCTAAATTAACAGTTATGTAATCCTAAAGTATGAAATTATTAAAATTGCATAAATCACCAAATTACCTATAAATATCCCAAAGTGACTACAAATCCCAAATAATATTAATATCCTGTCCCATGTTAGTTGTGTAAGGAGAAATGTGGCTATATATTTGGGCATTTTGCTCCAGCTGGATACATGAAACTGCCATAAGAAGTGCACTACCCTAAATAACTATATCAGCCTTTTCAAACGTCTTCAGTTGATAGAGAAAAAAGCAAGCATCTTAGGCATATATCCCAGCTATCTCCAATCTGCACTAGAGCTTTTTATTGTAATATCCTTCAGATTCACTTTCTCTGTTCAGTATCCGTAGACCCTGGATTTTAGGCAATGATTTTGTTTGTCTGTCTAACTGGTGTGACATTTTAAATAGTGCAACCTTTTTATACTTTATATTTTGCTTATATATCCCCCCCTATGTTTCCTTCAAATTCATTAGTAGTTGCCAAAAAACAATATTATTTTATGAATTGAAAACTCATCTGGCATATTATTATGAGTGCTGTGTGTGAAAATAAATCTGCTGTTTAATACTATGACTTTTGAGATTTACCCATGCATTATGGGATAAGTCAGTAAGTAATCTAAATCATAAAAGTTACATTAGTATCTACATCTTGCTGATAACAATCTTGGTTCAAAATGCAGGAAAGTGTTGAAAAGGCTTCTATAATTTGCTCTCAGAATGAGCTTGAAACGTTAGGAGGTTGTGATGGGAATACCCCAGAGCAAATCAGTGCTCAATTAGAAAGACTGAATCAGACACTTAGGCGTGAGAGTCAACGGTATGACATTATAATTTTGATTTATGTTGTCATGTTACTATGCTCGAGCTTAACTACTGTTTATATGTGTCTGTATAATGATTTTCTTTTCTTTTGGTTTCCCTGTGTAGGTACTCTGAATCAATCGATGATCTTAGGATGCTGTATAAGAAAAAAGAGCGGAAGATTATTAAAAGGCAGCAAGTTTACAAAACCCTTCGACAGAAATTGGATGTATGTATTTTGTGGTTTTATTTGTTCTTACCATAAATGCATTTTTATGGGTATTGTTTGATATAAAGCTAAGCCACCTGTTTGCATTCACCCAAAAGATTTATCTTTTGGATTAGTTTGTTCTTTTGATAGAGGTTGATCCTTGCCACCTGGGCTTGTCCACATGATTGGACCAAAATTTATGAATAGAAAAACTGGGAGATAAAAACACTGAATGAGCTATAAAACAAAGAGATGAATCCCTGTTACAGGACAAAGTAATGGGAAAAAATAATGGAATATGAACAATGGTCGGAGCACATAAGAAATATAGACAATAGAACCCCCAATCCCCTTTTTCCCCACAAGGCCCATTTCTTCACTCAACCTGCCCAACCAAATTACTGTTAACATGAATTATGCCGCGATCAGTTACCTCTCCCTCCAATATACATACCCCCCTCTCTCCTTTTGCTGCATGACTCCCGTATCCTCCCCTCGAACCTCCTTCTGCCAGCTGTTCATTAGAATCAAAGCTAATACAAATTAATATCTTTCCGGTGAGAGTAATCATGAAGCTGAGTCTCTTGATTTTTTAAGTCAGTTGGGTCTCAAGTCGTTAACCCTTTGTTTTTTAACTGCTATCATGATAGATTTATGTCCTTTTTTTATAACTGACTTATGACTGCAATATATACCTCTAAATATTAAGATTAGTGTCCCTATATAATATAAATTTAATCCACCTTCTTCTCATTATCAGAAAATAGCTTGTAGTTCTTAATCTCCTTTTTCTAGTGTGATTATAAATTTTTTACTTGTTCATTCTTCACTTGATGCAGACACCTGTTGAGGTGAAGTTCTTGTTTAATGCATTTTAGGGAGTAAATTTTTGTGTATTGTTGCAGGCTTGCCAGAGAGCCTTAGAGTTACGAAAGAGAAAGTTTCAGAGAAATGCAACTTATCTGAAGCATCAGCTTTCTTGGAAGTATGCCTTTCACCATATTCAGAGGATTTTTTTTTTTTTTTTCATTTTAACCTTGATTTCTTTTTCATCATCCTCATTCTCAGATTTAATGGTCATTTGAGAAAGAAAGGGATTAGTGGACTTATCAAAGTTAATTATGAACAGAAAACCTTAATGATTGAGGTAAAATACTTTGCTTGCGTTATATATTTCTTTGAAATATACTAACTTTCCCTTTCCAAATATGCAAAATTTTTATAGAGCTATTCATTTTCTCTTGTCAACTAAACAAATGCTAATTTGTGTTACATGTCAACTTGTTGTTTGTACCTGGTGAAATATGTTTTTTGGATTTTAGTGTGACCTAAACTTTTTGCTTAATTTATCTCATTTATTTATTATTTATAGGTACAAATGCCACAAGATGCATCAAACAAAGCTGTTCGAGATACTAGGGGGCTTTCAGGTTCAATATAGGATATTGATGAATATGCTGACATCATAGAATGAAAAATGTGGATAGTTACTATCGTGTGATAAATATGTTGTTTCATTTTTTTGTCCTTTTATTTCAAAGCAGATGAGCAAGAGAAACAGTCATTTATGTATTGGTGTTGAAACATTAGGGTTTAAGCCCAAGAAAAGGGAAAAGAAAGAATGAAGGATAACAACAAATTAGATATTAATATGTTTCTATCAAATACTAATACCCAATTCATCTGTTTATATTGATTTGATTCACCACTAGTGCTACATGTTCAGGCCGAAACCTACTTCTAGCAAACTTGTAACCCTAATATCTTTTAATAAATTGCACAATCTTATATCTTATATCTTCTATGCCAAGGGGAAATTGCATAATCTTTACATCTGGGTTTGGGTTTAAAATAACCCCACAAAACTGAGGGTTGTCCCTCACTTACATATATGTTTACATATGCATTGCTTTGTTCTTGTATATAAATTAGTCATCCATTCCACTAGTGATTATTTTTAGTTAACTGTTGGGCATTTATCTAACATTTTGTTTTACTTACATGTTGTATGTGCAATTATTTATATATGTTTTTATAATTAGGTGGGGAGCGTTCTTTTTCAACATTGTGCTTTGCGTTGGCGCTTCATGAAATGACAGAGGCCCCTTTTAGAGCAATGGATGAATTTGATGTCTTCATGGTAAAACTCTTTGTGGTATTAATCTAGGATTATTACTTTTTACCTTTATACAGTTGAAATTATAGTGCCCTATTTTTGTTGCTTGGTAATATTATCTATAGATATTTGTACTAGATTCGTCAATAGCGTGTGTGATTGGTGTAGCGGCTATGCAATCCATGCCGTAGACTTCAATGTGGATATTGCTTACTGGTCTTTTGCGGCAATATAGCACTGTGTACTGCTGCTATGCTGATGGTGTCCAAAATCCTAAGAATGACCGATAGTATTTCCATTGGAGGGGTCCTTTATGGAAGGTGGTTTTGGGTAAAAATAGGCATCTTGTAGAAGATTCTTTCAAAGTTCCACTATCATGTCATGCCTCACTTGTCTACTCTCCCCTTGCAACTATTCACTTTCTCATGATTCTTTAATGTTATTTGGATCGGATACTGAATTTGAGGGACTAGAAATAGAAAGAAATAAAGAGAAATTGTTTTAAAAAGTGACGTTTTTTGCAATAAAAGAGAGAGAAAATGTATAGAAAGTAAAATAAATATATATATTTTTAAATGATTTATTATATTAATATTTTTTAATTATTTATTTATTATTACTATTATATTTAAAAATAAATAAATTGAGATATAATTGATTATATCTTTAGGGTTTATCGATTATGTCTTTAACATAATCCATCATCTCTTATTTCTTTGCAAATTTTTGCCTATGTGCAGAAAAAAGAAAAGGTAAAATTTTTATTGAAAATCTAAGTCAATTTTCTTCACAAATCTCTCTTGGCACTTTCACACATCCACGTCAAGAAACAGCAGGAGTGTTAGTCGATGTTCTCTGTTCATTGTCTCCCAGGAAATGTTTCTGGGCATCTGTCTCCTAAAGACCCAACCCGCTGAAACCTTTGGCTATTCACGGCATTCTTTGTATCTATTTAATTGTGTGTTTACTTAGAGTGCCAAAACCCAGAACATTTTTGTTGTTATTTAGGAACATGTGAAGATTTGAGTAATTTTTTAATCTTTGAGAAGTTATTTTTTGTATTTATTATTAATTATATAAACCATGCCCTATAGTGCTATAGCTTTTGAGGTTAGCTACATCCCTGATTGATAAATATGGTTTATACTTTGTTTTTATATAAAATTTAGAAATCTCCTAATTAAGTTTCCTAGTGTGGAATTTGGATTTAATCTTCAGGATGCAGTAAGCCGAAAAATCAGCTTGGACACTCTAGTTGATTTTGCTGAGGCACATGGATCACAGTGGATATTCATCACTCCGCATGATACTAGGTATTTGTTTCAACAGTAGACCTAGATCATTATTTCAACAATCAGCTTGTAAGAACTGTACTGTACTAAAGGATATTACTATAATTAGTTTTTGTGAACTCACAAGAATAATCATAGAAAATATTTGAAAAAAACAAGAAATTTTGTTTGTTGATGGATGAACAGTCAAGTCTTCAATCTTGACCATATTGTTGTGTCTAAATGTGCAGCATGGTGAGGACGGGGGACAGGATTAAGAAGATGCAAATGGCTGCTCCACGTTCTTGATAGTTTGTAATTGCCTTTATTTATGGCATCTGGAAACCCGACCATAGTGTACCATTTTATTCTACGTTTAATCATGTCCAAAATCTGATAATTATTTACTTTAAATTTTATTTTGTTGTATGGTGCTTGTAAGGGCCAAGTTTAATTTTAGAATTTGTGATGTAAATAGATAAAAGTGTGTCTAATTTATTCCTTAAAAGTATATTCCAGGTAAGTGCTTTGCTTTCCCTGGTGGAGAAATAACACTTGTAAATTTGTCTTTCGAATGTGAAACTCTTGTGTACTTAAGACTCAATTTTACATGCCAGGTGGAATGTTGTCACCATAAAATATTCAACTGTCTGAGAATTCAAGAAAGCAAGAATAATACAAGAATACAGTTTGAGCATTAGCTCTTTGTAATGTTTTATTTGAAAAGTGGGTCATTTTTCAATGTTGAGAAAGTAAATAGAAATGCAAAAGATAATGATTTAGGGTTTAGGGTTTTCGATAGGATTCACCCATGTTTTGTTTCAAACAATTTAATTGATGATAACTAATGAAATTTCCTTTTACTAATCCAAACATGTTAAATATAGGATCTAAATTAGTCAACTTTTTTAAAATTGGACAGGTTATTTAACTTGTGAGGTTTCCGGTTGTTTAACCGAACTAATAAAATATTTTATATAATACATAATAAATTTATTATTAATAATAACTTTTTAAAGTTATAATAATGATAAAAGTTATCCAAATAATTATAAATTATAATAAAAATTACAAACATGAAATGAAAAAGAAAATATAAATTTACTAATATTAAAAATAATACGAAAATATAATAAAACTATTATTATTTAAAATTTATAAATTAATGTGAGATAAAAAAACTAAAAATATTATATCTTATATAAAAAAATTTAAAAAAATTATCTTTAACGTTTTTTATCATTTGATTAAATAATTTATCTATATTTCTCGATTTTACTAGTTTAATTCTTAAAATACTCATATTAGCTTCAAATATTTTTTTAACAATCAGTTATTTAAATATTTAAATTCCACTACTTTATGAAATTTTAACTCAATTTAAATTTGATACATATTTTATTTTATAATTTTAAAGAACTAAATAAGTGAAGATAGTAGGACATGAGTAACTCACACTAGTTATTTCTTATTTTAAAAAATATAAAAGAAAGATTTATGATTTCATGTCATTTTTAAGTAAAGTACTGTTGATTTTATTTTATTAAAAATTTTCTTAATAAATTTTAAAAAATTTATTCTCTTTTTCTTGTAAGTTGTTTGATGAAGCAATTATAAAAGAATTTAAACATTTATGGTATCATATAATTTCTTTAATAAAAAATTATTTCAAATCAATAATATTTTATTTAAATATCTAAAAAATTATTTCAAACCAATAACATTTTATTTAAATATCTCAATATGCAACTCCATGGATATGTGGATAGCTTTGAAATTGAAAAATTTACGAGGATTTTGTTGTGATTTCAAACTAGGACCACTTATGGATGTAGTCAAATATTGAAATAATGCATCATTTATTGAACCGATGTGAAAATAGTAAAATTACTGATTTATATTAAATTTATGTAATATATTGCATATAAATATGTTTGCCACCAATACATTAAATAATGTATAGTAAGATTCATATTTTTAAGTGAGGGGTTAATGAGATTTAGGTTGTTGCTTATTGTATTCCATTATTTTTTTCTATATCCTTTTAATTAAATTAAACCTCATTTTATCCTTATATTTATTTTCAACATCATTTTCATAGTTTATTTCATATTGATTTTTCTTAAAACACGTTCTCGAACATACAATTTAGAATTCATTTTTGAAAAAGTTTTTTCAAAAACACATTTTGAAACATTAATTTCATAATGCATTTTTAAAAAGGGTTTTTTGGAAACACATTCCATAAACATCTAATTCATAATGTATTTCGGAAATGCATTCTGAAAACCCAATCTGGAATGCGTTTCTAGAAAGATTTTTCTTGAAATGCATTATAAAATACTCATTCTGGAATGTCTTTTTAGAAAGGTTTTTCTTGAAATGCATTCTGGAATATTTATTCTGAACGTGTTTCTGGAAAACTTTTCCAAAATATCCATTTTAAAATGTATTTTTGAAAAAACCTTTCTAGAAAAGTCAATCCATAAATGTATTTTTAGATTGATTTTTCCAAAATTCAATTTCATTTTCATAATATTATTTTAGATTGAACAATTTAGGTCTATTTATGTAATTTGAGTGCGTAAACGTATAATTCATATATAATATTAATAATTACTTATCTTTAATTGCTAGAAAAGGTTTTCAATGGAAATGATATTTAAAAAAAATAAAATAATCAAAATATGGAAATGTAGGAATGGAAATGCAAAGTTGTACATAAATAGAAGAAGAAATTAAGATAAAAAAAATATAAATAGAAGAAAAAACTAAGGTAAAAAAATATAATTATAAAAAAAGTATTTTAGATATTTAACATAGAGTAAAAAGAAAAATTATGGCCCTCCAGAAGCTAAGTGCACATATTTATAATCTGATGTTTAAAACAATGAATTCATTAAAGTAATTTTAAACAAACTTAAATACACTATTACACAACACAACTTGTTTGAAAATGGTTACTGTACCGAAACTTTAATATTTCTTTATTTTGTAGATTTTATTTATGTGTTTCTTTTATAATTAAATGTTTGGTACGACGAGAATATCCATTATCTTTGTTGTTGATTAATTTTTATAAAATAAAATTGATTAATCATTTTTAGTGAAATTTTTTTTAAAGGATTAATATTATTTTGTGTGTTTATTGATCGTGAAGTCAGATAATTTTTTATTATTTGATATTAAATAAATAAAACGTTAAATCATGCCTTAGAAAATAATAATAATAATTATTATAGTAATAATAATAATAATAGTAATAGTAATAGTAGTAATAGTTAATTAAGATTTAAATAATGATCGAATGTTTTTTTATTAATATTTTAGTTGTATACTCATCATATATTTATTCTTTATAAATAATTTATGTATATTCTAATTTATATAAAAAGAAAATATATTTTTTAATTTTAAGATGATATCAAGTCATTATTTATCATTTTTTTAATCTTTTAAAATCCTAAATAAAAATAATGAAGTTTAAAACATCTAAAATGAGAATAGTTTTTTATTTCTTATTGTGAATGAGTTTTTCTTGCTATGTGAAAAATATTTTAATGATGATATAAAACAACATGAAAATATTAGAATTGACAAAATTAAAATGAAAGAGTATTTATATTAACAATAACAATTATTAATCTTAATTAAACTTGTCTCAGATAAATTAAAAAAAAAATCGAAAGAAAAATTGTAGATGTCCATGATTTATCATAAGAATCAATTTAACTTATATTCTAACTAAATCACCTTAATAAGATATTTAAAAAAATGCTTTGTTAAATTAGATGCATAAAATTTATAGACAGCAATTGGATGATATTGATATTCTTTTTCTTTTATTACGTCCATAACATAAAATTATAAAAACATATTATATTTATTTAGAATTTATATAATTGTTAAATATTATAATTTTTTTAACATTTTAATTAAGAGTTAGGATTTGTATTATTATCAAATATTTTATTTTTCTTAATATCTTAACATATGATATATATACATATATATATATATATATATTAATTCATATTATTATTTAAAAAATATTTTATGTATAAACTAGACAACATCCCAATAAATACAACAAAAGTAATTTAGTAAATTTTATTTAAAATCAAGAATATCAAAAAACACATTTATCATTTTTAAACAATATGAAATTGAGATAAAATATATGAAATAAAGATGAAGATGTTAATCTGAATGAATTTGTAAACAATAAATGATTATTATATTTGATCGATTAGATATATATTATTCTCTCTAACAGGATTTGTTGAGACAATATTAGTGCTAAAAAATAGCATAGTTAATGAAACAATAACCCTCTTTGAAGCACGAGTTAAGAAAAAAATGATATTTTTACTCGAGAGCGAGCTAACAGTTACTTGTAAACTAACCTAACCATTACTTGGTTATTACTTCTCCATTGGTGGCTTCGGAAGGTGAATCTCTGTGATCAATTCAATCAACTCCGTCCAAATCATAAGTCACTGTCGAAAAAAGGAACAACGTTTTATATGCCGTTAGAAGCAGCCACAACAGATATTCAAAATCTGAGAGAGAGAGAGAGAGAGAAAGAGAGGGACCCACACCACACTCAATATCAACGACAGCACAAACATTTCCGTTGCTGAAAAGCGCAAAACTTCAATTCAATTCAATAGAACAACACGAGCTCAGAAGGCAACTCACAACGATGTCGTTTCGTTCGGAGAACGAGAACCCTAACCCAACTCCAACTCCCACTCCGCCGGCGAAGAAGCGGTGGTCGGACATATGGGCGAAATCGAAGCCCCTAAACCAAATGGTGATGTCGATGAAGCTTCACTCCCTCTCTCCTCGCCTCGCTAACAAAGCCAAACCCACACTCTCTCCTTTCCCCGTCATCTCCGACCGAACCCTTCTCTTCTCCGACGAGCTTCTCCTCAAAATCCTCGCGCTTATCTCCGACTCCGCCGCGCAGCGGAACTCAAATTCTCTGGTCTGCAAGCGCTGGCTCAATCTCCAAGGCCGTCTCGTCCGCTCCCTCAGAATCTCCGACTGGAACTTCCTCCTCTCCGGCAGACTCATCCACCGCTTCCCCAATCTCAACCATGTCGATTTGCTCTCCGCCGCCTTCATTTCCTCTCGCAGTTCCGCCATTCTCTTCAGCCACCGCCTCCTCTCCATGCACCTCGATTCCAGCCTCTCCCCCAATTGGTGCTACTGCGAGGAAAACATGCTCCCGGTTGAAGTCATCGACAACGGCCTCTCCACTCTGGCTGGCGGCTGCCCTAACTTGCGCCGCCTCCACGTCATCGGCGCCAGCGAGATGGGGCTGCTGAGCGTCGCTGAGGAGTGTCCCACTCTGCAGGAACTCGAACTGCAGCGCTGCAGCGACAACGTTTTGCGCGGGATCGCGGCCTGTACGAATCTTCAGATTCTGAAGCTCGTTGGGCATGTTGATGGATTCTACAATTCAGTGGTTTCTGATATTGGGTTGACAATTCTGGCTCAGGGGTGTAAGAGACTGGTGAAGTTGGAGCTTTGTGGGTGTGAAGGGAGTTTTGATGGGATTAAGGCTATTGGAAAGTGTTGCTTAATGTTGGAGGAGTTGACGTTTTCTGATCATAGGATGGATGATGGATGGCTTGCTGGTATCTCTTTTTGTGAGAATTTGAAGACTTTGAGATTTCAGTCTTGTAAGAGGATCGATCTCAATCCTGGAATGGAGGATTATTTGGGTTGTTGCCCTGCTCTTGAACGGTTGCATTTGCAGAAATGTCAGTTGCGGGATAAGAAGGGCGCTTCGGCTTTGTTTTCTATATGCAGAGCTGTCAGGGAGATTGTTCTTCAGGACTGTTGGGGATTAGATGATAGCATCTTCTGTTTTGCAATGTTGTGCAGGTAATGTTCTTCTTCTCTTCTACATACAATTGTATACCTAGCTATGCTTATTGTTTGCATAAATTTCTCAATAAGAACTTACTAGAGAGGAACATGAGCAGGAATAAACTTTTCCCACAAGTTAAAATTGTCATATAGATAAACTATATTGTATTTTGTAATTGCTGCTTCTTTAGAAGCTTCTCCAAACAGGCATACACTTTCAGCTTCTTCCATCTCCTGTTTTGGCAGACAATGCATATTGGATTTGAACTCTCACCTGTCTTCCGAACAGGGCATCATTGTATTCTAGCTTCATGTCTCTATGTTCTCTCGGGAAAGCTAAAAAACGTTTGAGAAATGCAACAAATTTTTGAATTCAATGTGGTTAGAGTGGTTCTGTTCTGCTATGTTATTGTGGAATGTTCTTTCCAATCCTTCAATTCTGGATTCACTAATATATATCAAATTTATGGTGCAACAAATTGAGAGTGAACTTGAAATCATAGTTTTGTTATCTTTTGCATATTGTTTTTGCTGTTGTAACTTGTTAGTTTATGAGAGCTATGTGGATTTATGTATGCACCTGTTTTTTCAGGCGGGTAAAGTTGTTTTACTTGGAAGGGTGCTCATTGCTAACGACGGAAGGTTTAGAGTCTGTAATTCATTCGTGGAAGGAGCTTCAGAGCCTTAGAGTAGTGTCATGTAAGAATATAAAGGATTATGAGATCTCTCCTGCGCTCGCAACCTTATTTACCACTCTCAAGGAGTTGAGATGGAGCCCTGATACCAAATCACTTCTTCCATCAAGTGTTACGGGGATAACCATGGGAAAGAAAGGTGGTAAATTTTTCAAAAGGGCACGATGACTAAATCTTGAATCTAGGTCATTATAATTAGAATTAGGTTATTTTCACTGACATTAGTGAAAATTGTACCAAATTATGTGTATTCACTTTATAACGGTTAACTTAGATGTTGACAGTACAAATTTGTTATTTTCTTCTTTGTTTTCGGTCATTCCAAGGAAGAAAGGCTATAGATGTAATAAATAGTAATGGGAATAATATAAAAGTCTAATCCACCTTGTTCCGTTGCAAAGCTTTTTTTCTTCTTTGACGAGGTGTACTTGAAGAAAGCAGCATGTTACCGTTATCTGTGGGTCTTCACACTTAATCATACTTTTAACTTTTTCTTATCATTGTTCATATGTCAATGTCGTGCAGCAGTTAAAGTTGTTAATGTATGTAGTTTGGATGTCTTTTTTTCTTTCTTCATAAGTTTCTCTGCACAAGGAACTCGTTTATTAAGTCATAATGCACAGATTGAATGCTGTTCTTTTGAAGAAAAAAATAACTCAACATTTCTTTTCATACAGATTAGTAGAGAATTAATACAGATTTTGCTATTTTTAATGTAAAAAATTATGAACAAGGAACTGTTCATATAAATTAGTTTCTTACAACCACACTAAATTAGTTAGGTTAGTAGGAGATGTGTTCATTTGTCCAAAAACAATTTAATCTCAATTACACTAAATTAAAGCTACTTTGAACAATGACTTAGGGTGCATTAAGATATTTATGTAATGTATAGATGTTTAATAATATTCTTATAGTAGTCTGATGAATTTTTTATTTTCTTAATAAAGAGGACTTATTACCTCTAAACAAACTATAAGTCTTTCAATTGGAAGGAGATTTTTAAGCCTATTTACTTGTTTATTTTCTTAATTTGCTGGAGCACTGCTGCAGTTTCTGTGATGTGAAAAACAACAAAACTGCAACTGTGTGTTTGGAATATACAATTTGAAGCTTGTCAAAGAAAAAAATAACTATCTAATTCACAAAATTTTTAAAATATAAATATTGTGCCTCTTCAAGATAAACCTAAGTTGAGATGAAGAAACTTTTATCTTTTAAATAAACAAATAGACTTAATTTTATTTAATTTAATATTTGACAAGAGGAATAATGGTGGAAGTGTCTCCAAATATTTTTTTATTTGAGTGTTAAAGTGATAACGGTGTGAGAGAGAATGAGGAAGGGTTTGGTTGAGTTTGGAGCGAAAGATTGATTGAGATCGATTATGATGAAGGGGAAAGAAAAGGAAGTGGTTGTGGCAAACCCTTTGAGTGGCGAAGACAGCGATGATAAGCAACGCCCTTCCTTTCCCTCCGGCAGATTCTCTACCCGCAACGCTTCATCCAAATACGATTTCGTCAAGGTCTCGCTCTCAATTTCACCAACTTTCTCCCTCTTTACTCTTTTCCTATCTCTTCATTTTTTTTTTTCAATTGTTTTCTGCTTATATTTAGGTCAAGGTATGGTTGGGTGATAACGCGGATCACTACTACGTTCTCTCCAGATTTTTGCTCAGCAGAATGCTGACGGTTACCAAGGTATCCGATTGCTACTGTTTCTCTTTCATTTATTTATGTTTCTTTTCATTCAAGTTACTTTAGGGATTCCTTGGACATGTTCTTTTTTTATTTCTACAGATTGGAGTTCAATTTTTAAAAACTACCATGGATGTCAAATAACTTATTATTAGCCTCTTTATTTCAGATTCCGAACCATGTAGCTATCAAAATTGCTCTCGAACTGAAGAAGCTGCTCATAGACAACAGCCTTCTAGATGTGTATGTTGCTTCGCATCTCTTATTTTCCCATTTTCCAGCTGTCGGTTTTCTTTATTTTTGTTTCCTCTCTTTCTTTCTTTTTTTGTTCGCATGAGTTTTGATTGAATTAGTTATATGAAAAAAAAAACCACTCTTTCTTTGCTGCAGCTCTCAATCTGATTTGGAAGTTAACCTATTTAAGGTATGACCAACTTTTGGTTTTACCTGTTCATCACACACCAAGTTCCATTTTTCCTGACTACTGCTATCTTTTCGTAAGCTGTGCTCCACTTCAGGAAATATAGGGTGAACTTTCATCATTAAGTTTTCATATTTGAATTGAACTTATGACCAAGATTAAAATTTTGTGGACACCTATTTGTATGACACCTGTCTTGTATTCTCCTTGGATATTTTCACTTAGATATTAATTTATAGAGGAAAGTTGTGTATAAAATATTGTATTCGATGTACAAATATCATTGGAATTGGTTTTTAGATGTTTTGATATTCGAAATCAAGTGGAGCTGAAATTTCTTCGTACTGTCTCTTAATAGGAGGAAGTTGGATATATATTTTAGGGATGAAGTACCCATGGCTGGAGTTCCTCTCATTTTTTTACATACCAAGCGTCATTTAACATATAGATACGTTCTAAGAGGGTTCTATATGTGCAGCTTATGGAGAGGCGGGGATATGGAGAAGAGTACATAAATCGTTACAAGATGATGACGAGGTAAGTATGCATTCTTTCTGTTGGAGACAGTTCTTGTTCTTCCAAAACATGTGGCTGTGTCAATGTCTTGTCCTCATTATCTAACAAGGACAAAATTCTGTCTTCGTTTCCTTCCTTTGTTAATTCATGCTTATATATATCGTACATAAGTATGCATAGACATTTCATCTTTGTATATGTAATATGTATATTGTATGTGTATAATTATAAGTATTATCTAATCAGGAAAAGAAATTACTTTTGGGTTTCATGTTTTATAGTAATATTGAGGCGTCTTTTAAATTTTCCTGCTTTCCCCATTTATCCAGATTTCACCATCAAAGAGTTCCATTAGTAATCCTTGTCTGTGGAACTGCTTGTGTTGGGAAGTCTACTATTGCCACTCAGCTTGCACAGAGGCTAAATTTACCAAATGTATTACAGGTAGGCTTTGAGTGAGTGTCTCCAGTATTCCTGCATCTTTGTATCATATAAATTAAAGGTTTTCATTTTGGTTTTAGTTAAACAAAGCATCTCCTATTTTTTGTATCTAACTAACCAAACTGGATTCTTTTTCCTGGTTAACTGTCACCTAATGGGAGTTGTCCCTATATTTTGTTTTGCTTACTTAAATTATATTTTGACATTTTTCTTGTTGCCTTTGATAGACAGATATGGTTTATGAACTGTTGCGCACATCCACAGAGTATGTCTGGAACTTCTTTATTCTCCCTAACATGGCTACTATTTTTGCTTCTATTGAAAGTTCTGTTTGTCTGAACAGTTATTTATTAAATATTTTCATAAGGGACGATACTAAGGCTACTTTTGGCCTAAAATTATTTGCTTATGAAATCAAGTTCATGGATACACACAACATAATGTCATTATTGCTCAACAAAACCCATATCTCTTGATATATATAGTCCTTTACAGGTTGATTCTATAAGTATCAATGTTTAATGCTATATTTCACCATTTTTCCTTTGAATTTATATAGTACAAAAAGTGCTAACAAAGTCATACACCACAGAAATTGACAAATCTTACTTTTATGTTTATCTTTTCATTTCTTTGTGATTAATACTTGTATATAAAATTTGAATGATTTTTTTATACAGTGCACCATTGGCATCAACTCCTGTATGGGCTAGAGACTTTGGTTCATCGGAGGAGTTAATAACTGAATTTTGCAGAGAATGCAGGGTTGTTCGGAAAGGTCTTCTTAGTTGTTTCTAGCTTGAGATTTCTGTCATTTATAAATTAAATTTGGTTTTCAAATAATGCTATGAATATTTTATTTTCAGTATACTTGATTGTTTTCATAGATAAGTTGGCATTTGGTTTCTAGGTTTGGCTGGTGATCTGAAAAAGGCAATGAAAGATGGGAAACCAATTATAATCGAGGTGTGTCTGGACATTTATATAGTAGCAGGTTCCATGTACATTCCTGTTTAACATCCTTACAATTTTTTTAGATTGGTCAGTTGATATTTGATTAGTGTAGTTCTTAAAATACTAACCATGAGTAGATAAACATGTATCCATTGATGATCACTTACAGAAATTCACAATATAAGTATAGATAAAAAACATTTCTTTGTAGTTTTACAGTGGTCAATGTATTTTTTTTTTTTTTTTAGATAAAAATGGATCCGAAATAAGGATACAGCCAATGTTACCAAGGATCCAAAAAGACTGCCCCGAAGGAAACTAGTTGTCCTACAGTGCCATAACAAATGGTGTATTTTCTTGTAATTTCCTAGGTTAACTGATTTGTGGATATTGGGTTTGGTATGTTGCTGATGTAGAAATATGTTACCCTGAAAGCAACCAATTAGTTACCTACATTATTAAATCTCCATATTTTCACTCACCGGTACTTTTATTTTTCTCTGTCCAGTAGTAGGGATTGTTGGCTTAGTCTATACGCACTGAATTCAAAATCTTAAAAAAATCAATACATTCTGAAATTTATAAATTAGTTATGAACAGTATTACACTACTCATCATAATACAAATGAGAACGAATACTTAGCATGCCGAGGGATCAAAGACATTTATTGTTTATGTTATTTGGACTTTTGTAAGATGGTATTAGTGCTTATCTTAGATACATTAAAAGTGCTGCTCACCATACATGTACCAAACCAAATAGTGGTGGACGTGAGGTGGTGTATTGTAAAAAATCCAACTCCCACATAGTGTCAAAATACAGTATATAATTGGAGACAATTCTCATCTTACAAGTTGATTTTGTAGTGTTGAATTAGGCCTAAACCACTTTGTAAGATCTTTAATACTATTTTGTCTTTTATCAATAAAATAAAATGCATAATTTGCAGATACCTCGATGAAATCAAATATATAAAAGATAAGTGATAATTTCATCTGTAACTTTGGTATCACATAAATGTCCTATTAAATTTTGTTTTAATAATTTGATACGCCTTTTCTTTTTATATTGTTCAGTCAAAATGTTGCTGGGCGTGGGCTCAATTTCTTTGTGTATATTTTCATTATAACAGGGAATACATTTGGATCCTAGCATTTATTTAGTGGACGATGATAATAAATCACCTTCTGGTGTACATTCAGAGAACAAAGAGATAAATCCAGCAGTTGTGACATTGGATGATAATGCTAATATACAGATAAAAGATGTTTATGTGGGTAGTGGCGATGAGAGCAACCATGGCTCCAAGATTTTGAGCTCTAATGAAGGCGTATCTGCTGACCAGGTTGATGCAGTATCAAATTCTATAGCATCCCTAGGCCTTACTGGAAGTATCCTTGGACATAAAGGTTAGGCTTTTTTGTTTGCCATATTATATTGCTGATTAGTTCCTTAGTAGGAGATAAGGCTTAATATGGATGATGGACATTTTTTTAATGCAGGTGCTTCTCTTAGGGAACTGGAAATTGACAAGACTACTATTAGTAAGATGAAGTCGGGCCCCATACCAATAACTGTGCCTATTGTTTTAAAGATGGCTGAATTTGATCACAAGGTTTTGTCCACGGTTCATTATTTTTATCGAAGTAGCAATTATACAATAAGTGATTTTTTATTTTTTTTTTCACTTGTTGCATGTCTGAGTTTGGGGATTTATTTGGTTGTCCAAGGTTACTGTCAGGTCCATTGTGTATCTCTAGGATGTTCCTTTAGTACATGAGGAACATAATGCAGTAAATGAAAATAATAATAATAATTAGGGGTTGATGCATGGATCTACAGCTACTGTAATATTGACGCAAAAAAGACCGATAAATGAGGTCCAAAATGTTGTTTTACTGTTGCCCTCTGTCCTGTGCCAGTAGCAGAAGGATAGGTTGAACTTCTTGAAAACTACTTAGGTCAAGTGCACAACTCTTGTTTTCAAATTCCGTCATATACTTTAAGAAGTCAAATAATCCTAATTGTCTTACTTTATTTTCAGGCATTACTTGAGGAATGGATCTCCAGTCGAACATTTTATGACAAATGTCCCGACCTGGTACAGTAACATCTACACTTAAAACTCAATTCCCTGGCTTCCGTATTTTAGTTTTGGCTACTCTATAGCTCGTGTTTGAGTGAGTTCCTACGGGAATTTATTTTGTTTTAATGAAAGGTATGTATAAGAAATTATACAACCTAATAAAGCCGAAGAAATTATCTTGTAAACCAAGTTAACAAAGGCCTCTACAGTGATTGTGGACAAAGCACTTATAACAATCATATCATGTAGAAGAGTACAAGAACCTGCAACGTGTCATTTGTGTAGAAAACCTTGTTAAAAAAAGGAATCTATGACTATTAAGGAAAGAATCTTAGCTTCCTGTATGATTAGCAAGAGGAGAATAACTGGAAATAAGTAAATGAACAATTATTTTATAAAAGGATTTTGAGCTATCAACAGAAGCAAAAAAATTGTATTGAGTAGCAGGTTATGATCCAAGGTTTTTTTTCTATATCATGTAGATTCTTGAAGATTTGGACTCAATCTGAACTTGTTGTTCATTTACAGGACCACGAGAAGCTTATTGCCAACTTGAAAACTATACAGGATTATCTGTGCTCATTCACATCACAGGTATTTCCAAAAGATATACTGTGATATTATTCATTACTGGAAATGTTAGTGGAAAATCATTCTTTCTGGTAAGTTGACAGTTGTGTGCTTTGATGATAACCACGACAATTGCGGGACATTTTTCCAATTCAAATTGTTCTATACCTACTTGTTCTGTAGTTTTTTTTCCAAATGTTTCCATTTATTAACTAATGAACGTGAAACTGTTGATACAAAATCTTATTCACTGATTGTAGGATTACCTAAAGCCCCATAACTTTATGATTTTTAATTTTTATCATATGTGATTATTTTTCTTAAATTTTTTCCATTTGATGTTACAGGGGTTGACTGTGGTCAACGTATCGGCAACAACATTTCCTCAAACATTGGATTGGCTGCATGGTTACCTTCTTCAGGTAACAAAATTATTAGATGTAACGTTAGGATTTTGGTTCCCCCTGAATCAAAATGATAGAGAAATAGCACAATGACCCAATGAAAAAGTGAAAAGAATCAAATTTATGCCTTAAATCCCTTTACATCTGTGTCATGGACATTTTTTGGTGTAAAGCAACCTGTAGACATTCTTATCTGATGATGGTAGCGTGCAATTGAAAAGCTAGTGACTTTAATTATTCTTGTGCTACTGAAAATACAGCATTTTTTTTCTTAGTAAAATTAATATCTACAAATTGGATTACCCAATTAAGTGCTTGATAATTTTGTACATTTTCTTAAAGCGGTTTTGTTGACATCATAAGATTTTTGTATTCCTTTCCTTCAGAAATGACTTTAAGTTTCTTTCAGTGCATCGAGAAAGGTATCAAAGAAAATGTTTCAGCACCAGTAGCTGCAGTATAGTCCATGTATAATGAATGCTTCCATTTGTGACAGGTATGAAATTGACGGTCAATTTAACTTTTGTTTTAGTCTTCTCCAAAGTATTGCGCAGTTTGAGAGTCATTGACAAAGGGGTCAATTGTTTAATTTTTCTGGGTAGGCATGTATCATTCAATGATCCAAGCTGTCACCAAAAAAATCTTTAAATATGCTAAGCGGTTGACATTTTCATCAAAAGGTTATTAAGTACTCGAAATTGCGCGGCATATGATAGAGAGCGTATTATTTTTTTCAATTTACTAGTATGAGTATATTCACGCGAGCTGATGTTTAGGAGTCAGACTTCTATGTGGTTTTTTATTGTATCTTATCAACTTTCTAAATGGTTTTTTTTTTGTCAAAAATTTTGTACTAGTTGAGTGGTTTCTCCACCCCCAATAAAATGCAATTCTTGTACCAACCCGTAATTAAACATACAATGATAATTGTCCGTTTTTGAATTTAAACCTTTTTTAATTTAACTATATTGGAAAATTATTTTCCCGTTTATTGATTACCTCACCAGTTATTCTGATATGGTTTGTAGATTCAACTTCACGTTGTAAATTGGATGATTCTGGAATCAAAAGGGATCATGATCATGCTCAAAGCTATGTACTCAACTGATCGCAGTCACGGTCTTTGCAATATATGATGATATCTGATTTTGTGAGACCATGGCATGGGGAAGCCCGCATAATCGATGTAATTATTGCATTATCAACGTTTGGAGCTACATTAACTGTACAATCATGTGTTTTGATCTTGAATTTCATGCTTCCATTCCATTGCGTTGTGTAGCCGCCGCTAAAATGAAATACCATGGCTCGCTTTTAGAGCTTCGTTTTGCTAGCCCTCTGAATCCGTTTACGCGGTGTTTGATTTCATATAATGATTTTCCCTCTTCAAATTATTTATCCCAAATGAATATTTCGAGATGCCTATAATAGAAAAAAAATATTATTCTGTTAGAAAAAAGTGAGTTTATGATTGTCAGTGTTAGAGAATCCTTGTTACTATCATTTATCTTATTTGATTTCTTTACGCGGCTTGTTTACTTATCCTTTTAACATTTCTTTATGCGCACTAACAATTGAGGGATTCACGTGAAAAGGTAACGAGTTTTTTATTATAAATTTATGCAAGTACTGGCGTTGGCAATACAAAAATTGTACCGGTTTTTTCTTTTTTAGTTTTTAATATCAGTATAGATAATATAATATAGCTAAAAAAAGAAATAAAAAAGTTATTGCTCGTCTGGTGATCAATTCCTTTTTAGGTTTTGAGCTAATAAACAATATGGAAACACAGAATGATTTCTCTCACAAATCATGGTGACGTGTAAGAAGGATGAGAAGAAAAGAGATAACCAGATAGGAAAATGAGAATGTCTAATGTAATGTGAAAAAAAAGAAAGGAGAAACATGAAACAAAAAGTGAGATATGAAGAGGAAAGAAAAGTGATAGAAGTAAAAAGCGAAACATGATAGCTCCGAGATGGGTATTAACTCGTAAGCCAATCCGGCTTACCACGGGTTGAGTTTGATTATTTTTATTTCTATCAATTATGAACTAGAAATGAATTCGGCTCACTTAACCCATGAGTTAAACGGGTTCGAGCTGGGTATGGTGGGTTGGCTCACAATCCACCATTAATTTTAAATTTTAAAAATAATTATAATAACATATTAACCTTAATTAATCATTTATTTTAAATTTTTTAAAATAATTATAATATTTTAGTAACCCTAATTGATGTTATCCTATTTTACTTCTACCCTACATTGTTGGCTGTCATCACAAGCCAAACTCTCCTTTAAACTTGTTATTAGTTGTTCGCTGCATCATTACGTTTGTCGCTGTACTTTAGTCACTTGTCTTATTATCTGTGCACCGCACCACTACACCATGTCCATTGTGTTAAGGTAAGAATTTGTTTCATAACCTAAACCACTGTATTGCTTTCTGTATTGCTTTCAAAGGTAAAAATTTGTTTCATAACCTAAACTATTGGATTGATGAATCTTTATTTGAAAATTGTAGCATCTATACATTATTTGTTATTGATTTATACGTATATCTCTTTAATATATGAATTAGTATGAAATCTGAAACAATACATTAAAGCGTCAATGTAAATTGTATTGGTGATGATTTTATTGTTAATGAAAAATCCAATGAGTCAATTTCAGTTAATAACGAAGATACTAATATTGAGAAAGAAAACATAAGTTTCTACATCCGAAGTTTTTATATAATTTAAAAAATTAAAAAAATATGAATTAGTGAGTCAACCCACCTAACCCACTAACCCGTGGTAGGTTGAACCGGGTTATAAAATTTCTGGCTCGTCAAAAAATAAGCCGGGTTGAGCTCATCTATTTTCAGGTCAACCGTGGTCAGCTAACCGATTCACTTTGACACCCCTATCCGTGAGTTGGAAAGAAATCCAAACCATTGGCCTAGTCAAGCTCTCGTACCCAGCTTAAAATGTTCTCTGTTGCAGGATTTGCTTCCAACTGCCATCTGCCACTACATCCACAAACCATACTCTCCCTAATCCGTTTCCATTTTTATTAAGCAATTCATCTTCATGTGTACGTTTCCGGAAAATTTTCCATAAAACGGAGAGGATGTATAGATTAAAAAAATGGAAAAGGTAAAATCCAAAATCTTACTATGTTACTAAACAACACAAGAGGATCCAAATTCTTTGGGTTATTTAGTTTTCCTTTTTCGGCTATTACAAATCATAAAGTAGTCATTTATCATATACGATGTATTAGTTCATATTTTTGTCGCATATGTAATGTTCCATAGTTGGGCCTGGAGTCACACACTTTAAATTTCAATTAGGATGACAACTGCGGCAAGATAAAGCGAAATATAGTTACACTTAATTTAATTTACTCCCAAAAAAGCAAGTTTAGTTGTACAAAACATTTTTTTTTTCCTTTTGTTATGATCATTCTACACCATCGGCATCAGGATTAAGGAATGAAGAATGTTGTCGCCAAGACATGAAATGTTTCAACAAATTTTTCTTCAATTCTCTTCTTCCCCTGTGGAGTAGGAAATGATTACAACCTTTTCTGTGGCTTCAAATTTCATCATCCCAGAGTTCTTCAATTGTTTTGTAGGGACTTGTGGTTTCATTAACGTGAAATTCCCCCCTCATAATCTTCATTTCCTCCAATTTCTCAATCTCTATCATATCTTCGTTATCCAATCTCAGATCAAACGATCCAATATTTTCCTTCATTCTTTCTTGATTGAAGCTTTTCACAATCACACTTGAGCCCTTTGATAGTCCCCAGTTCAGTGCAACCTTCAAAAATTAAAGGCAAGAGAGATGTTAACCCTACTCAACTTTCCATTCTACTAATTACAAAATTCACATGTCAGTTAGGAATTCTAAATCATTGTATCCGATAAACGAGAGTTTGGAATTGAGTTTCACCTGTGCTGGAGTTGCTCTGTGTTTGAAGGCAATTGATCGGATGATTGGGTGATGAACCACAGCTGTTGATCCCCATGCATTCCCTGGCCCACCAAGTGGTGAATAAGCACTCACATGGATCTTGTGGTCCCCACAGGTCTTTCTAAGCCTTCCTTGCCTCCACATTGGATGCATTTCCACCTATGTTCCAATATATTTGGGGGACTTAAATTATTGTAATGTCTTGTAAATGATAAATACTAGAAAAATGCCCCCAAGATTTAACTCTACTAACTCACCTGATTTACAGCTGGAGTTGTAGAAGCATAATCCAACAAGGCCTCAATCTTCTTGCTTGAGAAATTGCTAAGCCCAATGCACCTACACAACCCCATTTCTAGGCATTTCTCCATCCCTGCCCATGTGGTCTCAAGGTCCAACTTTTCAAAGTCATCTTCATTAGGTACAGGGTAGTTAACCCATGGCTTCAACTTGACTGGCCAGTGCACTAGGTACATGTCTAGGTACTCCATGCCCAGATTCCTGTTTTGCATTCAATAAAGAAAACAACAAAATCAACATTAGATTTCCAACACAGATTTGTTCCCATGCTTCAGAATTAAGTAATTGGCTGTGAAGTTTAAAAGATTCTGTCACATATTTGTTTCCTGTGTCCACTTGTGGGGCATGACAATATTCAGCATTCACTTATTCTTTGCCACAAGCCTGTACTCCATTGTTTTTGTTATCCCGTGAGATTTTGATTCATGTAATGATCATACACCACATGCGTTTTAGGTTATTTGCTTTCATTTACTCTAGAAAAATCACGAAAAGGCAAAGGTTGAGATACGGGTGTATCTGAAATTTTCCCTCAAGATTCTGTAAAGCCAAGGCGTGCAATTTACATCTTCAAAGATTCTATTTGCTTACTCTAGAGTTTGTTTCAATGCAGAAACAGGATCATGGTGATCACTCCCCCACAGTTTGGATGTTAAGAAAATGTCTTCTCTCTCCACTTCTCCCTCGCAGATTGCCTCATTCAAGGCTTTCCCCACTGCTGGCTCCGAACCATATATTTTTGCTGTGTCGAAATGCCTATAACCCATCTGCTTATGTACATACACATGTGTATCGTATCAGTAACAAGATAAATGAAGAATAAAAAGCCATGTAGTTTCTTTTCCCTTTATCTGATACCAAGCAACATAGTTAGTGAAACAAGGGACAGAAAATTGAAAAAAGAGAAAATCCCAAGGCAAAGGCCAAAGGGGTTGTATAAAATATGTATGTGTGTATATTATGTATAAAAAGTATGGTCATGAGTACCTGAAGGGCATTGTGGACGGCAAGTTCTGTTGTGTTCCTATCATTTGGGAAGGAATAAGTGCCTAATCCAATAAGAGGCATTGTAATGCCGCAGTTCAAACGCACATGATTGTTTCTCATTCTGTCTGTCTTTTTCTGTGTTTGTGTTTTTCTAACTTTTGCCACAATGCTAATGTCTCCAACTTTAGCTTTATATAGATTCTACGAGTCAAGCCATACTATAACAAGTTAGTTTATAGTTTAGGTTTGAGGCCTTCAGGAGCATCTAAATTAATCATATATTAATAATATTATTTGTGGAAGAGATAACAGGTGTCACAGAGTTAAAATGAATTATTGAGGAATGCAAATCAAAGCATGGGATCCTCCCTGTCTCTTGGGATTTTATTAATGGCCCAATCCATCATCCAAAGGCAAATTAATACCTTAATCCCACATAGGAAGTTTATATCTTACTATATATATATAGTTATATTTTTATAATACGAAAGACAGTAACGTGCATACTCTGAACTCTCAGGGTCGGTCACTGAGCTGGCACTTCAACCATTTGATTATCCTCAAAATACCCCAAGTCTTCTCTTTAATGCAGAATTTTGATAATAACTAAAACCATTAAATATGATGTTCTACCTTGTGGGACTGTGGGTGCATGAAACTCAACTTTCTTCAATATTGGGTTTTGTGGGCAACCAATATGTTGAACAAATAAATATATCTTTTGACATGCAAAATTGTCAAAGCATGCCATATTCAAAGACGTATTTTCTTTTATCTGTCACTTTCAAACTTCATTTTTATATGTAATGTCTTGTAGAGTTGACTTTGCTGAGAAAATATAAAAGTGTGTTGAGAGATTTATACATGTTTCTGTTGCTTAGCACTATCTCGAACATGCCTAAATCAAATAGTTTCTTTCAGTCACCATTCTTCTTCATTCTCTTCAAACACAGTTCTCACTCAGCCACCTTTTGCCACACTTTATATCAACTAAACTCTCAAATCCATGGGTTGGCATCATTGATGTTTCTTTCATAACTCATTCAATCAACAATTTTGTCAAATTTAAGTGTTTTCCAATTTTCAAATAAAGATAACTTACATTAATTCATTGCTTACGATTATGTGTTTTTATTGCCTTGCTTTCTGTTTAAAACAAAGCTTAAAAGATTATAGCTGTGACATCTTCTCTTTTTTCCAATATATCTATGATAATAAAGTCAACAAAATTTAAACATAAGACTTTGTATAAAATATTCGAATTCCCCACAGGCCAATATGTCATAACTTCATATCCATATTTTAAACTTATTTATTGCGTTAAATATGTTTTTAGTTTCTATAAAATTGATTTTGGTTTGTATAAAAAAAATCATTTTTATCTTTATAAAATCATAGATTTTGATTTTAATCTCTAAAAGATGTTATTATTTTTTTTTCATTTTTTTCAAATCAAAATAATTAATTTTAGTTCCTAATTACATCCATTTTAGGATAAAAAAACATATTTTATATATCTTAAAACTTTTTTTTAAGCGTTCCTTGGTGGGAGTATTATATTAGTACACCACTTAAAACTAAAATTTATTTAGGTGGGTTACATAGACTAAAACATATTGAAGCATTAATTATTGTACGAAATAATTATTTTCTTATGTTCTCCATAAAGAAAAAAAAAAATTCAACACGCATTTGGTCAAAAACAACATTAATTTACACAAATAAACCCAAAGAAACAAATAAGAAAAAATTAATATTAGTAACCCCAAAAATTGTACCATACATTTGCCAACAAAACCAACCCAACCGAAAGCACACGACACTTTGACTTTGCCTAATCTTTTGATTTATTCATGGTTGTAGGTTTTTTTTTTCTTTTCATCACTACCACACACAAAAAATATGATGATACGAAGAAGATAAAGTAGAAGAACACCGCCACAACAGGTGTTAAAATCATGTCATGTGAGACCAAAGATTTTGTTGTTCCATCTCAAGTTTTCTTTCAATTTTATTTTAATAAAATCCATAGTCAACCCTTTTAATAATCTTTCATAATCTCAGTCAACCTATGCGTTGACATAATTTCTCTTCATGAATGTAACTTAAATGCATCACCTTCCCTGGTGGCCAAATCTTTGTAGAGGGCTATGACCCACAACCGTGAGCTGTGCCCAGCCAAAATCAATCTAATATATATATATATATATATATATGTATATATATATATATATGTATATATATATATATATATGTATATATATATATGTATATATATATATATGTATATGTATATATATATGTATATATATATATATATATGTATATATATATATATATATATATATATATATATTCCAACACAGTGGCTTTTTAATTAAAGGGGTAAAAAAATTTTGATTTTATAAAGAGATAAAAAATTTAAAATTTTACTGAAATTAGTGAAATTGTGTTGGATAGGACGATTTTAACTTAGATAAATACTAAAATCGTGTAATACAATTTTAGTTGTTTGATTTTTTTATTTTTTTTTCTAAATGTGCTTTGTTAGCACATGTGTATAATTTACTATATACTGAACTCGTGCTGCTACGAGTTTCATATTTTTATTTTTATTAAAAATAATAAATTTTTTATTTTTTTAAATATATTATTTATTAAATAATTAATTTTGATTTATTAAATTAATAAAAAATAAAAATAAGTAGAGAAATATAAATAAATTTAATATAATATATTATATTAAAATATTATATTTAAATATATATATATATATATATATATATAAATTTATTATTGAAATTAACAGTTTGTTCAACATTTAGACAAAATAATATTTTTTGATTTATTTTCAACTTCTACATCTATTTTATTTTAAATTTGATTAGTTGTAGTTATTTCTTATATGTCTCGACACATGTTAGGATCATGACAAAAATTTGTATTTATATAAGTAAACCAATAATCTTCATTTTGAAGCTATAACATCTGAAAAAATAACTTATGTAAATTTTTCTTAAAATGTATTAAATAATATTATATGTAAATTATAATATATATATATATATATATGTTAAACTATTATAATATATATATATATATATATCAAAATATTAATAAAATAATTATTATTAATTAGAATATATATATATATATATATATATATATATGAAATTAATAATAATTATCATTATAATACATTATGAAATTATTAATAACAATAGTTATTATATACTATTAAAATTAAAATGTAAAAATGTAATATGAATTAATTATTATTATTATTAATATGTAAAAAAAAATAACATTCTTATCTCTTCGTATAAGAAGAGATAAGATTTTGATAAAGACTTACAAACAAAATTTATTAATTTAATAAGAAGATAAGAACCATTAATGAAGGAAAAAAAAGAGAGTAAAAATCTTCCTATATAAATGGGTGGGGTGGTGAAAAAAAAAGGAAGAAGGGAGAAATGTAAGAAAGGAAAAGAAAAAGGAAGAGAAGAAAAGAGAGAGGGAGAGAAGAAAAAGAGGGGGAGACAAGAGAAGGAGAGAGAGAAGAGAAACAACTTAAAAACAAATTTTGTTGTATCATCTGCAATATTGAGGTAGGTGGTGAAAATATTATCATTAAATCTATTTTATTTTGATTATAGTTGTGGAGTGAAGTATCCCTAATCTCATTCTATTTATTTAGTTACTTGTTTATTTATCTTTAACTACATACTCACTGCCTTATGTTTATTTATTCTTCTCCAGTCTTATACTGATTTTATTTTAATTATTTTCAATTTAGTACTGGTCCTGCCTTATGTTTATTTATTCTTCTCCATTCTTGCACTGATTTTATTTTAGTTATTTCCAGTTGAGTATTGATCCTGCCTTATGTTTATTTATTCTTTTTCAGTCTTGCACTGATTTTATTTTAATTATCTCCAGGTTATGTACTTGATCATATTTGTTTAGTTATGCATCGATCCTATTTATTAGTTTATATTTATATTATTTAATTATTTTTAAATAATAATATCTATTTATAAATATTTGATGATATTGTAGATGGAGGTTGGACTTTGGGTATTTAAATGAGTAAATATCACTTGGGAGAGTGATTAAAATTGGGTTCATTTATCTTGATTAGTCACTACAAATTTAATTTAAATCTTCATAAAATAGAATGTGTTGAGAAAGTTGAAATATATATATATATATATATATATATATATATATATATATATATATATATATATATTATAAGATTGTATTATTGTAAATGATAAATGTTCTTACTCCCTATTGTGATCTTTTGTGCATGTTTTATTTAAATACCAACTTAAGTAGATGGAGGTGCCAAATATTTCAAATCCCTTTTCTGCAAGCATTACTGCCTTCTTTCCGGGACCTACTTGGAACACGAACGTTATTGACAATTTGGTTACTTTTAAAGGGACAGAATTATTAATATTAACATTTGCATCTGATATGAGAAATCTCATTATATTAGATGAACCAAGCAGTGGTTACCTTTTGCATGCCTCCTACCATTTACCAAAACTTCTTAATCAGTTTGTTTCCACCGACAATGTTGATATTTGTATAATTGTAGTAAGAATAGAAGGAATAAAAATAAAATTCCTTCTTCTTTTGTATATCTTATATATAATATATATATATATACATATACATATACATATATAGTGATGTAAATTACTTTTACATAAATGTAATATCTTTATTTGACCTGCTACTCTTATATAAATAATAATAAGAAAAAATAATGTCACATAACCGAATGAAATTGAAATTCATATGGCTTATGAATGCTTTGTAACTTGTAAATCAGATCGATAAATGCAACCAATTGTAAATAACAAGAGGAATAGACAATAATAACATGAGTATTGGGTAATCCAAATGTGATTCTAAGTCCCACATTGTGTAAAAATGAGGAAGTTGAGCAATATATAAGGAAGAAAGACCCATAACCTAATCTCTTAAGGTTTTTGGTTGAGAGTAGTGTTAATCTCTTATGTGAATTAGACTCATGTCTCATTGTTAATGTTTCTCCCCATTAAATCCCC